ACTATAGAATAGATATTACGATAGTTTCATCCGCTTACGATCTCGTGCTGTAATTTTGACCCAAAAAGAAGAAAATGTATTCAGTGGTTCTTGATGTTATGACGAATTGAGATGAATCCTACAATACAATACTTGTATATACATCGAAAGTTCAAATACATGTTCGAGAGTCTAAGAGAAAGCTTTAGCGAAAAATAAAAAAAACCTTTACGTCATAGCTACGTCAACTATCCCATATGACAGAACGAATTATATAACATCTTCAAAAATAATCAAAAATTTAAGTTTAAAAGCTCTTCTGAATAGCTTAAAGCTGGTAGAATAGTTAGGGAATTTCTGGCTCAAAACGAAGACTATATTGTAATGGACGAATCGCTGATATAAAAGCTGTAATCCACAAGAAGATGAAGTTTAGAACTGGTTTCTTACGGTAATTTCGAATGTCCGAACGTTTTGTAAATTTTTCGTGGAACCCTTTTAAGTTAGATGTGCGTACCGAAGCTCTAAGGTCCGCCGAGCTTTTAGTAATTACATAAGAAAACAGCATATTTTTTTAAAATTTTTTATTAAAAAAGTACTTTTACTTGTATTTAATGTTAAATACTACCAATATCAGCTCTATAGCCAATATAGTATTCATTTGCTGTTTAGCATTTATACCAGATTTCATTTCTATATAGAATAACTAAGCAATGGAATACTTTTACACATAAATTAACACGCCTGTACTCATAACTGGTTTTCTTGCGCATTATTCACCTCAGCCGGGCGTAAATAAATCAATAAAAGGTAAAAAAAACTTAAATATTTTCCACCGTGATTCGTTGACCAGTTATGCATGATTATTTAGTTCGTCTGCCCGTTAGGCTTTAAGCCCGCATAACTGCAGCAGCTTTATACCACAACACAAGATGACTCACCTACCTGTTTCGAATAATTCTGTCGTATAATTTGAGAGCTGTGTCGATTTCGTAATCAACTCTTGGCACTTTGGCAGATCGCTGTGTTTGCTCTTTTGCCATTTAACCATTTGACGCCAGCATCCATGAGCTTACACCATTAACACCAAGCAATAATTAGCAGCGCCCACTGTTTGTTGATCGTTGTTTGTGTCCGGCCATCGATCGGAGATTGTCGTTTATTGCCGCTTTTTGTCATCGCCACAGGGGAAATCGGCGGAGCTTACACAATTTTGCTTACAACGATTATAGACTGTTTATAGTGTATATATATATACCCTTACCTGTAAGAATCTATATGCTTATGGATTAAAGTATAGATACATATACATATATTGTATATATGTTTATTTCTTTAACACCGCAGTATTTTCTTTAAACTTTAATGAGTTTCTTTGTTTATTTTGCTCTGCCAAATTCGCTTGCCGCTTTTGGTAATGATTTTCGACATTGATTATCGCATTTTTCGCTTTCACTAAACCAGTCACAGCTGACGTCGGTACAAATTTTTTATCTTATGTTCCCATACAAATTATTCATGCCTTAATACTATATATATATGTGTTATGTGGGCAGCTTTTTGATAGTGTTCACGGCTTCATTGATTGCTATGACTTTATTGAGGGAGTTTTTTTTGGAATTTTGCGTAAATTTTAAAATACTCAGAATTTTACTACCATCTGATTCACTCATTACAAGTATGATGATTTTCGATGAACTCTCGTGTTGAATTTTAAGACATTTTTGTTGAGTGTGCGGCTAACGTACTTCGTACTGTGAAAGGAACAAAATCTCAAACCTTCAAAAAGCGAAACAGCTTATAAATAGTTTGTCTATACGTATACTCGATTCATACTCAAAAAGTCAACTACGATAAGATGCATCCATAGGGGATGTTATGAGTTTCGGCTTTGTGTCTCTAATGTTAATGGGCCGATTTTCGGACTAATGTTATAGTCGTTAGCGAAGATGGTTGGACGACTCACATGAGGCGAGTTTTCCACGATTTCAAATCCCTCGCTGAATGTTTTGTACTACCCAATTTATATAACTGCATTGGGGATGGAATACAGACTTTGACCGTTTTGATTGCGGCATTCCTTTCTTTGTAACACTCAACGGATTTCCCTTTACAAACTAAATTGTAGAAGATAAAGATAAATTGTGGCGACAGTGCTGATGTTCAGTGATCATCCATAAAACTGGGTTGAAATCGATTTTAATTAAGGTGATATATAACAACACGTATATCGTTCTTATTATAAGTCATTAATTAGTTTGCATATATGCGGGTAGTAACAGACCTTGACCGACTAAAAATGCTCTTAATATATAGACCCACACTGTTGTGGAAAAAACTGAGTAGTTTTACCGAACTAGTTGGTCACAATTTGTATTTTCTTGACTCTTATTTCCACACTAGCACACTGCAGAGCAGCTATTTTTCATTCTAAATAACGCGTAACAGGTTTATTGACTATGTTGAATAATTCTAAAGCAGTTTACATACAAGTTCCTCTTGTAAATAATGTCGAAAATATTACGATCTCCAAGTTCAAATTTTATAGATGTTTGAAGTCCAAGTGTAGTCCCCAATTTAAAAGCGATTAGTAAACAAACCTTACCTAATTTAGGCTTCGTCACTAAAACGTCACCATTTATAAGTTTTGCCAGCGAAAGAGTTCCCAACCCATAAATAACTTCATTCATATTTCACTCTGGATTTACTGAGACCTTTAATTTACGACAATAACAAAAAATATATCCTTACAATTTTTGAAATGTCTTCCATTCAGACTTAAGTTGTGACTCTTTTGACAGGATGTCAATATTTTATAATTGTTTGATTAGCAATCGGAGAAATTTTTCAACACACCTTAGTTACAGTTAATAAGATAACAAAGCGCGTTCTTGTATGGTTTGATTTGTAAGAGTAAACATAAATAAACACTTCCGAGAAATATTGTAGCATACATCTATTTTGTATATCACAGTAAAAATAACTCCTTCAAAATAAATGATTTCTATTAATAAACAAGATCAGCTTATGTTAAAACGCTTAACCCAAAAATAAGATTCATTACTGCACGCATTAGTTTATAAAATATTATCATGAGTGAAATCTAAGTCGAAGTCTTTCAAAAATAATAAGGAAAGTAGTAGAGACCAAAAACAATGCGAAAATTAAGCGAATGAGGCTCCCGTTGTTTTAGAATGTGATTTTCAAGAAGAAATGAAAAGAAAAGAAATGATGTTACGGCCAACAATTTAGCTTTATTATAAAGATACGTTTCCACTTGACTCTAACATTATGACCGGGTTAATTATACCCTGAACAGGGTATATTAAGTTTGCCACAATGTTTGTAACACCTGAAAGGAAATGTCAGAGATCCTATAAAGTATATAGCTAGGTAGGTGCCATACAACCTTACCTATCAAAGTTCTTGTAAGGAATCTTTTGTATTTGTGAAGGGTATTCTTGCTTTGGTGAAACAAAATGTTCTCTTTCATTTGGTATTACTAAATTTTACAAAAAGCAATGTTTGTAAAAAATAACAATAAATATGTTCACTTCTTCGAATAAATGCTTATTTATAGGGAATTACTCACATTGTTTTGATATTAACGCAATTTCACTTATATTATAATTTTGCTCATGATTGTATATAGAATATTACACAATGCATAAACGTTACATTTCGAAAACCGCCGATGTAGTTATTAATCGCAAATATGTAATAACATTAATAAAAATGTGTAAATATATAAATTGGATCAAATAGAACTAATATATGTACTTATGTACATACATAAATGTGTATGTCGATATGTTAATGTATCTGCCTGGGCGACTTTAAGTGATTCACGCCAGTTAACCGGAAACTTACAATAGTGTTATGAAGAAGAAGCAACAACGAGTACTTTATGTTAGTGAGAAGAGAGTTTCTAATATTGAATCATCGAAACGCTCAATAAAAATTTGATAAACCGAAATAGAGATATATTTTTACTCAAAGCTTTTAGAGCGGCAGATCGTAGGCAAACCACTCAATTTGTAGCAGTAGGTGCTGAGGTATGGTTAGTTATATGACAGATTTTTCAAAAATTAAGCATAGTGCCGTATTTTCAAACTTTAGTGGCTCGTCAGGATATTCCATTTACATATGGTAAATATACTTTAAGTGTAATTTAAATTGAAAACGGTTATACTAAAATGGTTATAACTCACTCTACATAGATAATAGAACACTAATATTAGGATTTGAAAATACCACAATTGCATTGTCTAAGAGGAAATTTTAGGAAAGCTGGTCATTTATTGACCCTATTTAATTATCTTTATCTTTGATCCCTACCCGTTCTATTCAAACAGGATGCAGTATTTTTTATACTCTTGCATCATGTTTCTACAGAGTATAATAGCTTTGTTCACCTAACGGTTGTTTGTATCACTAACAACTAATCGAGTTAGATATAGGGTTATATATAAATATATAATTGATGAAGATGACGAGATGAGTTGAAATCCGGCTGACTGTTAGTCCGTCTACTTGATAACTTGAGTAAAAAATTAGATATCTTGATGAAACATATACACATATTCCTTGGTACCCATGGGAGGTAGGTATTGCAAATGGAATCGGACCATTGCCACGCCCACAAAACGCCATTAAATTAAGACTTTTAAAGTGCCCTAACTAAGCCGCAAATTAAAATGCAAAACTCTAAATTAGTACAGGTGATCGCAGTAGCCAGGGACACCTGTGAGCTAATGTACATACATATATATGTACTTGTATGTGTCTACAAGTGCTCTGCTTATTACTCATAGCCACTTGAGTTCGAAACAAAACTTTCTCTTCTTCAGCAAAACTGAGTAAGAAATACTCAACACACACACACACACAGAGGAAGTACACAATTACACAGACGGCTCCACTTGCCTTTGTTTTGGACGCTGACTGCAGAGCGGATGCCAGCGCAGGTATGTGGTATTCGGTGGATATCGTTTAAGCGACTTCTAATTGAGTGACCAGTTAACTGAGTTGCGCGCACTTTGCCGACCGTTAGTCTTGGCTGTTGGAAAACTTTGCTCGGTTAGTCGATTGCGAACGCGCAGCTAAGCGGGTTGTTTGGAGTAAATTAGTTAAACCGTTCGTTAGTTAGTTAGTGAATTAGAAGTAAGCGCAAACATACGCATATTGTACAACGATAAAAGCCGTTGCTATCGGCTCAAACGTGCGATCGATTAATTTAACGAAAACAAAAGTTTGAAATAGTTTGTAATTCCAAAAAATTATTTAAAATAAAAAATATTTATTGCTAAAAATGGTGCTTAAGAGCCACTCACACATATTAGTGCTTTCGCTGGTGTTTTTAACGCTGTTTCACCAATTGGTGGCATATAATTTGTCACCGAAGCCGAATATGATTGTTAATGATCCACAATTCGCCACCGGCATGCCAAAAGTCGAGTCTTCTTACTTTGGTTTTACGATCAACTTGCGGCCGTTGGGGTAAGTGAGTGTTGGTGTTGTTTGTGGGTGTGTGCGGGCGATTTCAGTGACCGCTTGTGTGTGTGTGTGCATAAGTGATACCTGTGTAATGGTGCATTACGGTTACGCATGGATTTTTGGGATTTATAAAATGTGCAAATAATATGTGCCCTGTTATTGTATGATTCATGTATATTAGCAAGAAGTATATTATGAGTTGATTGAAAACTGTCCGGCAACAAAAACACTTGTGCTGTTGAAGACATGCCTGTGTTTGTGCATATAATTGTGTGTTGCAAAACATAATAAAATAATTGTAAACTCAAGGCGCTTAGTAATGATGTTGAGAAAAGTACTTAAAATAAATTTTAATTATATACAATAATTTAATAACAACAATTTAAAAATAAAAAACTAAATTATAAAATTAAGCATATTTTTAACAGATATATTTTGAATAACAAATGAAAAAAATTTTTTGGTTTATTATAATATTTTTTTTTATAACGAACGATGAGTTTTATTTCACCCGTTTTTGTAAAAATAATTTAAAATAATTAAAAACAACAGTGTACTTTTTAACAGTATATTTTTTATATTTTTTATATAACAAATAAACAAAATTAAAAATAACAATTTAAAAAAATATTTTTAATTACAAAATCTTTTTTTTAATTATGATCAATTTATTTTGAAAACTTTTTCGTTAAAAACATTAACAATACCACATCATATTTTTTAAAGGAAAATTTTTCATAACAGATTAACCCATCAAAGTTTGTTATAATGCCAACTAAAACTATTAGTATTAATAAAAATAAAAAATTGCTAAAGAAGAGCATGTAGTTACTTTGAAGTGAACAAAAATAAATAAATGTATATGTATGTACATAAATTTGTTTAAAGATAACAATAAATAATATTTGTTAAAAAAGTAAAGGCAATAAATATCAGTAAACAATATTAACTATATTAATTAAAAATAAAATATAATTTAATAAATATTATGCGTATAACCAATTAAAAGAAATATGTATAGATCAATGTGTTGAAAATTATTAAATAATACCTATAATATTAAAACATTAAAGAAATAAAAAAAATGAATACTAGTAAATAATATAAAAAAAAAATTATAATTTTATTACAAAATATATACATACATTTAAAATATGATAAATGTGTTTAAAAAATAGTATTTATAAAGTCAATTCATCAAAAATAAGGTTAATAAAAAAAATTTAATTATTTGAATAAATAATGATACAATAGATATTCATATTTATCAAATATATTACTCTTTTTTATATAATATAGCGCCGTAATGCATAAAATAACAATTTGAATCTAAAATCCATTAAAAACACAAATTAAATTAACAACAAAAATTACTGACTCTACCAATGCAACATATGAAAGGTCAAAAATAACTTTGGAGAGGAAAATTGCTTGCCGAGGAGCACCAAGTACAAGTAGTATTTTTAAAAAATGGTTTTCTCATATGTGTCAGCACATAAAGCACTCAAACCAAATTTTAGCGATTTTCTTTTTTTGCATATAAATTAACTTCTCACTTCAAACCATCCCCAACCACAATTAACAGAGAATATGGCCCTACACCTACAAATATGGATTAGGAGCCTCATATGATCATATGATATTTTTCTGGACATTGAGAGTTCGACAATTTGCCACATTACCAACTGAGATTAGCTATAAATATCTCACTCATGATTTTAGGGTGCTCTCTTTAACTTAAAATATAGTCTTGAAAGACTGAATGAGAAATTTTTGTGTCTCACGCGAGGAGGGCGAATATAAAAATTTTTGTTAAAGTCTCAGAGATTGCAGATCCGATAGAAATTCTTCTTTTGTAAGCTTAGAAACCAATTAGATCAGTGAACAATTATATAACATATTCATTAATTATAATGCAAAGTATTTATTTCATGATATTTAAACGGGTTAGGTCCTCAAGTCTTCATATGACATCGGTAAAATATAGGCATATGGAGAACCCTTATAGTTTTAAATAGCTTCCAATTAGGGTCTGTATTTTTATACCCTGAACAGGGTATTTTAATTTTGCCACGAAGTTTGTAACACCCAGAAGGAAACGTCGGAGACCATATAAAGTATATATATAAATGATCACTGTGACGAGCTGAGTTGATTTAGCCATGTCCGTTTGTCCGTCTGTATATACGCGAACTAGTCCCTCAGTTTTTGAGATGTCGATCTGAAATTTTGCACCTGTCCTTTTCCAACAAAGAAGCTGCTCATTTATCGGAACGGCCGATATCGGACCACTATAGCATATAGCTGCCATACAAATTGAACAATCGGAATCAAGTGTTTGTATGGAAAAGTCTTTCATTTGACGAGGTATCTTCATGAAATTAGGCACGAGTTATTGCTTAAGGCAACAAATTATTCTCCACAGAAATTGGTCAGATCGGATCACTATGTCATATAGCTGCCATACAAATTGAACGTTCGGAATCAAGTTCTTGTAAGGGGCCTTTGTATTTGTGAAGGGTATTATAGCTTCGGCGCAACCGAAGTTAACGTTTTTTCTTGTTATAAGTTCGTTTTCCAAATCATAAACTGCTATTTTGCTATTTTATAAAACTTACTTATAGATACTAGATTCTTTCAGTAGTTACTCTAAATTCATTTTCCACTCGCAAAAAAAAATTCATTGTCAAGAAACAAATGTTCTAAAGTCGAAAAAAGTAAAAAACAATTAAATTTCTAAATATTTGCCAAAATACAAAAGTATATGTACATATAACTATATAAATATATATAGAGAAGAAAAAAAATAAACACAAAATATATGTATGTATGTACGTTTATATGTACATAGGTAAACTCGCACACCAAATAGGAGATGAAGTCATACTTAAATAAACATACTCGGTAGATTGATAAAAGCGAAATAACAATAAATGGGTTATGACTGTTGTCTCCACAGTATTGAAGCACATACTTGAACTTATCTACGTACATACTTATGTATATATTTATCTCTGTGGAGTAGTTCAATTTGCCATTTTTTAGATTTTCAACTATTTTAGAATTCTTTACAAAAAACTTGATCTACACTCCGGCATACCAGTATTGTATACTCGCATATTTACGGTTCACAATGGAATTTATTCATCGCTTTACAAATACGAATTTATATAAATTAATAAACATCTATCGTTATCGGCCACCTTCAGTGACGGTGCCAAAGTGAGATATTAATACGTTGATAAGATTAGACTACATTTTGCCTTTATCACAAACATTGAAGCTTTGCGTTTGTGTAAATATATAGAAATATTGGTAAATAACGGTGAATTTTGCAATGCTAACCATATCTATGGCTGTTTGAATATGTGTGGCTACTTTAAGGATAAGTAAATAGCCAACGCCTTGTTTTAGTATAGACTGTATATGATATAAATAAATATGTTCAATTTTTTATAGAATATTTTGCAAATATATAATATATGTACATATGTAATACATGAGTATTGATTATCAAATAGCTTCGATTTGCGCAAATTATGCAATTCCAGGTGTGTTCGGCGCATCAATATCAGATTTAGTGAGTATGTATGACAGCTGTCATCTATATCATATACAAGTAGTTTATGCATACAGAGTAAATAACATAGAGTAGAGGTCAGCACAATTAATATGCAATTTTAATTAATTGTTGATTATCGCCTTCACAATAAACACCCTTTGTGCACTTGCTAAAAGCTTAAATCGATATAATATTCATTTAACGATTTCTGCCCTCAATTCTCAACACATTTCACTTTTGAAGAGAAATGGTAACTTCGCCTGCATCGAAGCTATAAAACCCTTCACGGGTGCATTATAAAAAGATCCTTAGCTTGATTTGGATTGGTCAGTTTGTATGGCAGCTATAAGCTATAGTGATCGGATCTGAACAATATGTTCGGATATTATAACGATGCCTTGGATAATAATCTATGGCAAATTTCGTAAAGATTCCTTAAAAAAATAGTTTTCCATATAAGGACTTAAGTTTGATCGGTCAGTTTGTATGGCAGATATATGCTATAGCAGACCGATCTGAACAATTTCTTAGGAAATTGTACCGCGGCCTTGAAAAATACACCGCGCCAAATTTCGTGAAGATATCTTGGCAAATAAAAAAGTTTCCATTACCAGGACTGGACTTTGATCGACCAATTTGTCTGGAAATCTTAACTTCCAAGACTTCTGGAGGTAACATGTGCAGGATATCGTTACTCTCAAGTGAACCTGCTCTAAGAGCAAATAATTGCCTTGTTCTATTAAGAATCGTATCTTCAGATAGTTTTCATTTGAGGCAGTGTGAGAGTTGTACACCCTTCTAGTTAATAAAGCTGACTATAATTGTGATTTAAGAATCAATTTTAAAGGCTTTACGATCGACCGATTTTGTTTAACAAAGGTTTTGAATTTGTCCCTATATTAAATCGTTCAGCGTTAATAACATATTTGATTGGGTTAACTGCTATATTTTAGGTCTTTCAGTCACAATCGTTTTCAAGCTGTCAGGGTTAAAGTAAGATCTAGGTTTATGAAATCTTCGACGTCCGCTTTAGAACAGTCTTGCTCTAAAACAAAGCAACGCTATCTTTTTTCAAGTAAGTTTGTTAATAGTATTCCTAGCATTACTCTATTACTTACCCGTAAAACGAACGACTAAGCTGAGTCGGAAACTCTTTCGAAGAGGTACACAAATTGTTTAAACTCACCCGACGACGTAGCAGGAATTCGTTACTAAAGTGAACCGGTTTATCGTTTTCATAAATATGAAAGCTCTATTAGCATGAGGGCAAATAATTTTGATTAAAAATCGTACCTTAATTTTTTTATTCATATGAGGCTTCTTTATGGGGCTGTGGATTACTTGTATTTAAGTATATTTCTGTGTATACTTTTAGTAGTATTTTTTTAATTTGCGATCTTTATGTTGTCAAACAATTGTGGGTTTCGAAAATCACTAAAACTCGTGACAAAACCTCAGTTTCTCGGTTTCGCTCAGCTATTTTCGAACTCAGGGCAAAGATAAGCATGTCCCCGGTTCGTTTCACTTACCTAGTGAACTTTTTGGTCACATATGTTTGTTCTTATCACTCGTTGGTTGCAGTATCATAAGATATTATCCATTCATTCTCAATAAGTTGTTATAATGACTTGATTCGGTTCAGTAAAGCTTGATTCATAACATTTTCAGGAAATTCCTTGAAACATTCAGAAGTACATATTCTCGTATATATTATATTAATTAATCACAAACTAAGAATGACTATAAATGACGTGTCAGTGCTCTTCGTGCCTACTGCTTTAGATATTATATCATTTTCGTATAGTTGTAGGTATATGAGTTATTTGTTATTTTTGATATTTTCTGAGCAGTTCATTGAGGTCATCCGAACTATTTTTGTGCATAAAACCACAAAATAATAATATTTCACCAAATAAGAAATTAACGCCTTTCTTGGCTTCGCTACTCTATATATATATATTTGTTGTTGAGCTGCAAGAATTTTTCTTGGTTTGATTAACTAATTTCATAGCAATGACCAACCGCTGCTGATAAAACAAATTAACGCTCATATAAGCGTTTCTCTGTAAAAATATTTAACTCAAATAAAAGAGTATGTGCTCAAATATGATTCCATACATAATCTGAAAACTGAAGAAGAGATGACAGCCCTTGATAAATCGCATTCTCTACACTACTAATTGCCTAAAGGGAACTTTAACTTAAGAGTTTGAAATGTTTGAACCGCATCTAGCCGAGTAATTTATTTTATGAGAAGCCATACAGATCAGCTTAATATAACCTGTCGAAGGGTTCACAAAATTTAGGGCGTATCTGAAGTTCAGTTCTATGTAAAAGGCGTTATCCAAGGCAACTAGGCCTAAAGAGCTTAGCATATAACTAAACTAGTAGTAAGAAACTACGATTGGTATTAATATAATTAATGAATTTATGGAAGTAAACTCGGTTGACTGACTTTGTCCTATTATGTGATTTTGGGAGTTAATTTTACTCTATTCCACTCCACGACCAATTATTTTTATTTCGTAGGAAGTAATATTTGTCAAAGCTATTTAAGTTACGAGCATAGAAATTAAGTGAAGTGAGTTAAGTTAGAGGTGAAATCCTTGCATTTCACTCAAAGAATATTATCTAAGTCAACACCTATATCACGCAAAGAGATAATACTTTATTCAAGTTCGAATTATTTATTATAGAAAATGTTTTAGCTTAGATGAGAACTACTACTTCTGTCCTGATTGGATATTCAGACTAGAAAATTATTGATTTAATTTCGCATAGAAGTCTCACACATTTTGCTCTTATTTATTTTATATATTTTATATATGTTAAAAGTTCTGTTTCTAACCTCAATTTATCTAATTTAAATCTTCGCAGCATAATTGTGGGTGCACCACGTGCTCAGTCCACACTACCAGCGCAGCGAAATGTCAATGAAACTGGTGCCATATATCGGTGTACTCTGTCGCCGACTTCCACATGTAATCCATATGTTATAGATGACAAAGGTAATCGCACACTCGAGAGGACCGACTCGTACACTTACGATAATGAGGCGCGTGACTTTCAGTGGCTAGGCGGTGCCATGGACGGCGGCACAAAGGATACCGATAAACTGCTCATATGTGCACCACGTTTTCTGGCGCCCACCGCTAGTGATTACTTAATGAATGGCGTGTGTTACTGGGTCGCCGATACGCTCAACGATAATCCTAAAGATGTGCAAAGGATTTCACCTTTAAGACTCAAGGAACTGCAAATGAAAACCGTTAATAATCACCGAACTTTTTTTTATATGCTTGCCGAGGAGGGTTTGAGTGCGCATGTTACAGATAATAATGAGGAGTTTGTCATTGGTGCGCCAGGCATAAATACGTGGCGTGGATCGACGATACATTGCCGCAAGCGATTCGAGGAAGATCCCACGCTGAGTCGACGTGATACGAGCAGTCAGTCTAGAAAGCGTGTGACAAGAGATCTTGAATTTTCCGGCCAATATACATTGGACACTGAAGAATTACAAAATGATTCATACTTCGGTTATGCTGTTGGTTCGGGTTACTTCGATAGCAACAACAAGAATCAGCTATTGTATGTAGCTTCGGCGCCACAAGCCAACCTGCAGTCAGGCGAGGTGAGTAAACGTTAAATTCAAGAATTTAGTTGTCCAATCTGAAATCTTCGATAACTCTTTCCACAACAGGCCTATTTGTATAAATACTCGGAAGACAGTCTGCTCAAATTGAAGCGTATCTATGTGTTCCGTGGTGAGAAGTTTGGTGAATATTTCGGTTACTCACTGATCACTGAAGATCTTAACGGTGATGGGCTCACCGATGTCGTTATCTCAGCACCACAATACTCCGTAGCGGGTTATTTCGATAATGGTGCCATCTATGTTTTTCTCAACAAGGGAAATGTAAGTGTACACGAAACCTAGAAATTTAAAGCATAGTATAAAATAGTAATATATTTACTCATTTACAGTTTAATTTCGAAAGAAAAGTAATCGTATCGCCGATGCAAGGCAAGGCACGTTTCGGTACGACCCTCAGCCGCTTGGGTGATATCAATCATGATGGCTTCAATGGTTTGTGAATTTAGTCTTAGCAGTTCCATATAATTTTGTCCCTTCTCCTTTACAGATATCGCAGTTGGCGCACCATTTGCCGGTAATGGCGCTGTCTTTGTCTACCTCGGCAGCACGAACGGTTTACGGGAAGAGCATAGCCAACGTCTGGATGCGCCAGAGTCGGTGAGCAGCAAATATGGTGAGCACATGTTTGGTCATGGGCTCTCCAGGGGTGTCGATATCGATCGCAATGGCTTCAATGACTTTGCCATCGGTGCACCGAATGCCGAAGCGGTTTTCGTCTATCGTGCCTATCCAGTTGTTAAGATACACGCTGTTGTCAAGTCGGCAACACGTGAAATCAAAACCGATCAAAATTCATTCAAAATCACTGCCTGCTATAAAATCAGCACCACGTCTACACAATTAACCGGTCAGGATTTGGCGGTACGCATTGTCGTGGATTCACAGGTTAAGCGCGCTAAATTCATACAGACACGCACGAATGAGATCAGTTTTAATGTATCGGCGGGACTGCAGGAACAATGTCGCACGTTCGATTGTGAAGTATACACAAATGTGGCGGATATATTCAAGCCGATCGAATTGGAGATGCATTACGATCTCATTAATGGTGTGCCGAAAACGGAAGGTGAGTAAAGTGATCCCAGTGGAGAGTGTGTGAAGGGTGGTATTAATAATGTGAACCTTAGTTTACTAACCAGTAGGTGTACTTGTAGGAGAAAAGCACATGTGGGAGTCTGATCATAAAAGGAATAAAAATTTTATTTTCTTGCTGCTCAAACGATCAAAGCGATTTCATGATCTATCAGATGTTCCCACTAGTAGTTGCAAAAATTTATGAGTTTTCTGACATTGTCCGGGCTGGTCGTTCACGTTCACGTAGCATTTTATCTTTGTACCTTTATCAACTTACTTGATAACAAGAGAAACCTTTCTACCTATAGAAAATCTCTCCATTTGTTTGAAAAATTTGAGCTCTGAGTTCACCACTTAGACTAAATGATAGGAAACTGAATCTTTTACGCGTATATTCGATATTTTCAGGCTCCTGATAGTCTCATATGCTAATAAACCTTAACAAGAGGTCCCAGAGAAAAACATTTCAGCTAAATTAAGGGGTTATAAATCGCCTATTTAGATGGCTTAGCACTTAAGCTAAAGCATTGGACGTACGACTATCAAACTTTGAGGTATGTCTCATTTTCAATTATGAGGGTTTCTCGCATTTTACTTAACCTCCTTCATATAGAAATAAATCGGACATTATGGGTAGTCTTAGACCTTGTAGATGCGTCGCTCAAAAGTCAGAATTTTTTCTCAGATAAATCCTATTTATTATATTCACAGTTTTCTGCGATAAATGTGCCGCCGTTGATCCCGCAGAACCGACCATATATAGAGAGAAAATTATCTTCAGCACTGGCTGCAGTTCCGACATTTGTGTAGCTGACCTAGAAGTTAAAAGTCGAGACTTGAAGTAAGTTTCCTTATAAATAATAAATACAAATGCAAAAGTAACATTAATTTAACGTCCTTCAGTCACACATATATACTTGGCAGCAGTCGTACGCTATCCGTCACCTATGACATAACGAATCACGGTGAGACCGCTTATCTACCTCAAATCAGTCTCACTTCATCGAACCACATGCCATTCGCCAAGATACCAGGAACCTGTCGTCCTAAAGAAACTGATTATTTAGAATGTGACTTAAAAAGTAATGATGTGTCGATGGCAAAAGGCGCCACCACTTCATTTACCGTTACTTTCGATGTTTCGAGTATAACGGGTAAAGCAATGATATTGACTGCTAAAGTTTTCAGTACCGGAAAAGAGGCGAATGAAGCCAATAATGTCGCGACCGATGTCATAACACTGGGAGAATTCACGGAAATCGATGTTGTTGGGTAAGTTGTATGAAAGGTATTGAAATTTTAACAATTATAAGATTTGAGAGTCTGACCTCTGTGAAAAAATGACAAAGGCTTCTCGGAATATTTTTCGATTTCTAAATATCAACCTGAAACTGTCGATAGGAATAAAATATTTGAACGAACGATGCCAACGCGTTATCGAAAATATATTAAAAAGAAAGCTTTTAGGTGACTGGTTTTTTCAAGAGAGTTGCCACTTCTTTACAATTTTTTTTATGAAATTATATTATACATTGATCGAATTGTTACAATATAGGTATCAAACTAAAGAGTTTTACGAAGACTTAGCGTGGAAAATATGTTTGAGAAAAGTTGCCACCTATATGGAAATTTTTATTCCAACAATATCACAATATTGGTCTCAAATGAAATGTATTTGGGAAATCTTCAGTGAGCATAAAAACATTTACAAACTAGATCTTGTAGGGCATAGGATCTCAACCGTATCATCATGAAGAATAATTGTTAAATAACTTCAATACTTGTCGAACAGATTACTGGAATCAAATTTTTACTACATGCCTAGTGAAGTCTAATTTAATTTAGGGATAACAAGATCTTTCCGAATACACAAATTACTTTTAAAATATTTTATATTAATTTTTTATTTTTTAGTATACCCAAAACAAAGCACATCAATCTGGAAGAAGTGAGCAATTCCTCGCAAATAATCAATAACTATGAGGTAAGTTTCCAAGTGCCTCGAGTTAGTTCGGAACTTTCTAACATTTAATTTTTATTTCGCCAGATAAAAAGTATGGGACCCAGCACGGTTGGTACTATAGATGTGGTATTTTATATACCGGTAGCATACAAAGTACCCGGTACTACGAACACCATACAAATCGTGGAAAAGGATAGAATAAATATGCAGGCCGTAAGTGATGCACAAGTCGTTGCCATCGATTATTTTGAAAATAATACACAGCTTATGATGAATGCGATCGAAATCACGTCGAGCACACACAGCACGACCAGTATCAACTCAAACATACAAATATACAAAGAGAAACAGTTTAGTTCAAGTTACGAATCGATGGGCCTCTATGATTTGCCAGTCGAAAGCGAGAATTGTAAGTTGAAAAGCCATAAAAAAATTACATAACAGATTATTTGAGTAAACTCTACTTCCAGACTATATCGATGACAGCTCGCAAATGTCCATACGACGAAAACGGGAAGTTGCTGCCAACACGGCCACCAAAGCGCAGTACGAGCGCATCGTCAAGGCGCACGAGCTGTTGGGTGAGGATCTCAAGGGTAAATTGCCCGTGAATCGTACGATAGTCTTCAACTGCCATGACCCGGAGATGACAGTTTGTGTGCGCGCCATTATGCGTTTGTATAATTTCAAGCCGGAAAAGCCGCTCACTGTCAGTATGAAATATCAAGTCGATCTGAGAGAGATCAATCAAATTCTGATTGAACCATGGGAATATTTTGTTATACTTATCGATGTGGATGTGAAAAAAATCGGCGACTTGCATAAAAATACTTTGGCGATACGTAAGAGCATAGATTATAATATTGTGTCGAAACATCAGCTCTATGGCACACCAATCTGGGTCTATATATTGGCTGTATTGGGTGGACTGTTGCTATTGGCGGCAATCACATACGCCATGTATAAGGTGAGTGTTTATGACATGGAAATATTTCATAAAATTAAGGAACCAAGAAGATCAAACAAAGAAAGTAACAAGGCTAGTAGATAGACAATTGTTAAAAAACTAGATACTCAAGTGCTTACGGAGCCTCCATCTGGTTTCTCTTGTTTTTATATGAAAAACATTTTTTATAGACCTTTAAGAGAAGTACAATCTATGGATTAATATCTGCAGTTAGTGAAATACTTTGTTTTATGAAAATTCGATATGAAGTAAGGATTCGAATAGTTCTTAGGTAAAACCTCGTTTTATATAACCATACTGAAAGTACTACAGGAACACAAGACTAGTCCGACTCTATACATATATTAAAACAATCTGAGCAATAGCTCGTTTTTTGCTATTTCTTTAAAATATTTATGAAAATGTTTGAAAATTTTTAATCGGAAAAACATATCGATATATCCTCCTATAAACTTTCTACAGCATAATGCATTCAGCGATTATTTGTATAGCTCTTAGTTTGATCTACATTATATATGTATATTCTATAGATTTTTAGTATATCCGTAATAGTTTTAATGAAGAGTCTTAACATATTTACATATAGGGAAATTTTTACGAAGACATCTACAACTTGCTGAAAGAAAGTCTTATGTGAGAATGGGTAGAATCAAATAATAACCACGCCCGCTCCAAATATTATATAACGGTTATGTTGAGAACTACCAAAAAAATGATAACTCACGCAATAAATGAGCTACAAGCATTATATTTCACAACCAGCATGGCAGAGAAGAGCTCCATGGGAGCAGGTATAAAAATTGGGCAAAGGGTGTGGCGCCGCCCACATTTAGTTCAACGAAATTCGGTGTTATATATTCTCCTAAGATTTCTATATCAAAGTGCAAAAATGGGGAAATCGGATAACAAGGCCTACTTTCCGAATAACAAACTTTTCAATTCTATCCACTAATAAAGTGATAGGAATAAAACCTTGAGAAAATACTGTTTTTGACAATAGCTTTTCCCCAAAGTCCCCTGACATCGAACATGTGACTAAAGCTTATTTTATACCGAAAATATGGGTAAAACACTGAAAAATATTATGGAAATTTAGAGAGAATCATTTTGTGATAATAGTGTACCCTTGTGTCCAAACAGGGCAAAATCAGATCATTACTTACATTAGCCCGCATATATATAACATAAAAATTTTCGAACCTCTGGTTTACTTTATACCGTATATACCGGTCAACATATGAGACTTCTTAAGCCAATTATACCCCTGGCCCCTATATACCTAATATCCGGTTATCAAACTTCCGGTTGAATTTATAGCGTATCGAAGATGTCGGTCTGTTCTCGAGTATACTTGATTGTTGGAAGACGTTAATGCAATCATTCAATATCTTTCCCTAAAGTTTAGTTATGAACTAAGTTTTGTAACACCTGAAAGTATTGCCCAGCCTTTGCGCTTTGCCAGTTGCGAGAGTATAAGTTGTTCGGTTACACCTGAAGTTAGCCCTTCCTTACTTGTTTTGATTATTTCTTTATAATAACTTTGGATTTTATTTATATTTTCTATTTTAATAATTTTACACAAAATCAAAAACAAAAAAATTTTTTTGTCTTCAAATTTTACAGCTCGGTTTCTTCAAGCGCGCCAAGAAAGAACAAATGGATGCATTGGTGCATCAAGGCTCAACGCAACCGGCACAAGATGTAGAGCCAGAAGCCGAAAATCTTAACACCGAAAGGAATTAAATGTGGAAGAGTAATAAAAATATATTTTTTATATATATTTTGTTAATTTTTAAAGCAATTATTTTGGCTGAACGGCTTTATCATCACACAAAAAATGTGCGCTTGGTTTAACTGAAAATAACGAGTTCATTAGTTCATCATTTTCTTACTTTTCTAAAAAGCAGGAAATGTTAAATTATCTGCAACTCTTACTGTTTTTATTTATATTTTTATTTTTTTAAGTTATTCTTTTTTTTAAATTTTACTTCTTAAAAACTGAAATCACACGATTTAAAAGAGAAACACACACGAAACCAAATGTACCAATCGATTTAAGCGTTGCATTCTATTTATATATTTATATTTTGATTGTATTGTAAATTGTATAGACTTTAGTTAGGCGCTTTTTATAAAAAGGATAGCATGTAAATTAAAATAAATATGACAGAGCAGAACAATAATTAGTTTAGGCTTAGTAGCTGCCATGTGTACATATAAGTATGTAGTTATGTTAAGTTGCTACTTAAAGGGTGTTGCCGATCAATTTAAGAGGTGCAGAATTTAGAAAAAAAAAATTTTTTTAAACACAGTAAATGTGAAAAATATTATATATTACTTTGAAAGTTGAATAAATTTTTATACTTTCTTCTAAATCCATTTATTGGTGGCACCCTGTGTACATATGTATGTATTGAATAAAATAATATAAATTACATACTAATACTTTATAGAGGTATGTATTTCAGTATGTTCTCTATAAAATTGAAATTTCCATATTCATATGTATGTATATGGAATGCAATATCCTTTTGTGAAAAAAAGACTTTTTGTTAATAGAGTGCATTTAAGATAAGTTGAAATGAAATATTTCTGTAAAAATAATAATAATTGCCAATAGTTGTCGTCTCCTTTAAGCATTAGCTAAGTTAATGTAGGTATATGCTATATACTTACAATTGAGTGATCTTCAGGAAACTTTGCAGTCACTAAATAACAGAACTATTTATATAAGTCAAGTATTATAATAGTGAAATAGTGTTTTTATGAAAGTGATTACCTTTAGTTTTAAGTATCTTGAAAATTTTATCGTATTTTTTACAAATAAAATACAAATTTTAAGAATTTTTTAAGATGTACCGTTATTTGCAAACGAAATGTTTGTTATTGAAGAATATAAGTTTTAAATTGCTACGAGGAGAGATGATCAGTTGGTAGGTATTTGGTTCTGTTTATCAACCAACTAGTAAACATAACAAGGCACTGTTGCTCTCAACTATGGTTGTGTGCTCTGCCATATATACTATGTATTTTGAAATATGTGTATAGAGTATCAGGTTATATTCTACTTTATATGAATTATTCGAACTTCATTCCGACGATAGAAGGGTGTGCCAAAATTAACGCAAGATTGGAATTAAATAGAAAACACAGTTTCTAGTCTTTCGATTGTAATTTTTTTATTGAATCGTAAAGTACATAGGTTAGAGTGATTTATGGCAAATGGCCTCCACCTCCGCCGAAATTGTTCATGACTATTCTGCATTGATGTAGCTGAATTTCATTACCGCAACGTTAAATCTCCTAATCATGGTGTTAAATCACACGATCTAAATAGATAATTCTGACCACCAAAACGAGAGAGTACACGACTTGGAAATGCTTCACAAACGTCCGCCAAGCTTATGAATATAGCTATTATTTGAAACACTCTATATAATATTCCACATAACTCACTTAGTTTGTTAAAAAATGTACTACTTGGGCTAAAAATTCATTGATCTAACAATAAAAGAATTTTTTTGTTTTGAATTTTTGTTTTAGTGAAAATTTGACTTTATTTTTCGACATAATTTCCATCTTGAGTAGTTGATTTGAGTGAAGTCTTTTTCCAACGAACCACTTTTTGAGTCGGGAAAATAGAACCTAGTCACTGGGGTCCAAATCTGATGAATATAGTGGCTGAGTAATAGCGTAATTCTTTCAAGTTGCGAATCGTATCACAAGCTGAATGAGCGCAAGATACGCGTAACTTTTTCCTTTGAAATCAATGACTTTTGTACTAGTTCATATTAAATACCTTAAGAGTTGTGAAATATTCATCGTCTAAGACGTCGACAAGGCGCAAAAGTTCTTATGGTTAGTTGTGAGAGAATACACACATCGTAAAACAAGAAAACAGTTCTTGGTGCATTTTTGGCGGAGCTTTAAACAGACTTAGAGAGCTTGAAGCAATGTAAACTAATTTACGACTACTTGTGGAATGATATATTAGCTGTGCTCAATTCACTCGACCTTAGAAAGTGGTGCATCGAACAGAAAATAGATTGTCATAGTTAAATAAATATAATAAATAATAATTATGAGCAGCTATAAAGTTTTAAGAGGTTGTAAATAAATTTTTGTATGGTCACAACAGTTTTTTCGGACTTGAAAGAGGAGAAAAGTGAGAAAATGCATGAGCTATACATATATTAGTTTGACATTACTTTATAATATTATTTAACATATTTTAATTACCACTCTAAAAAATTTTTACAAGCTTTAAAACATTTTCTAAGATGGTTATTTAAGCGTATTACAATAAAAGTGTAGATCTCTGCTTCTGATAATTCGATTCTTAAAATATTGTAAGATTATGTTGTTATTAGGAATAATAATAGATCTATTTAAATTACATTTTCTCCACTCAAATAGCCTACTTCGGAGCTTTTCTAATCGATGGTTTAGTTATTGGAATTTCAAAATCTTATATTTAAACCTAAATCATAAATTACAATTTGAAGCAACAAATTAAAATTCAAAAACGTTGACCTGTAATTACTTTTGCCATATGGAAAAAATACATACTTTTTATAAAATATAAATGATCAGCGTGGCGAGCTGAGTCGATTTAGCCATGTCCGTCTGTTTATCTAAACACGAGCTAGTCCCTCAGTTTTCAAATATCGCTCTGAAACACACGTCGCACGTCCTTTTCTGCCCAAGTAGCATTGTTATAGCTAGGGGCAATAAAATACCTGATCACCTTTAATTACGTGTCTTATCGAGTCAGTGTTTTCGGCACAAGCCAAGAAACAACAGTCGAAAATAAAATAAATAATTTTTTTTTTTTTATAAATTTCACAATTCAACAAATTAATAGCATGCAGCTGCCATAAACACTGAACGATCGAAATCTAGCCCTTGTATGGAAAACTCTTTTATTTGACGAGATATATTTTCGAAATTTGGCATGGATTATTCGCCAAGGCAAAGTTACAATCTTCGAACGAACAGATCGGACTCCAATATGAAATTACTTATTGGTAAACATAATGTAGTAACATATTACGGTTGTTTATAACGCCCTTTAAGACCGCATGACCACTTCTTACTTTTTCACTTTATGTGTTTGCGGTCCAAATCTTTAATACAAATATTTTTCGTGGAAGTGTCAGTAAGATTCAGCACGTGCCCCGTTTTACTGAGAGCGTATTATGATTGCAAAGAAACACTCTTAAAAACCAATATCACTGTGGGCGGGAGAGCACTTTTCGTATTCGTTGGCAAGATTAAGATTCTGCAAAATTTGTTATCGTATTCCAGAAACTCATGACGAATAAATTTAAATAAATATTTACATATACCATTAATAATATATGGAATTTTTTATCTATACATATGTATATATTGTTTACGTCACGATTTAATTTTTTTCCAATTGGTAAGCAATTCTTTATCAGTAACAATTATTAATACAAGTATATGTATGTATGTACATATTACCCAATTAACATAATTTTTTCGTATTTGATGACCTCTGGGTTATATCGTTGCTAGGGTTCAAATAATTTGGTTCGACGTGAGATTTTCGGAATGTGTGCAGATGTAGGCTGAAGCAACAGGCTCTTTCTTAAGTCCATACGATTTAAGTATTTTTGTATTCTATTGGTTGATCGAACCAGTTAAATTTATTATTGTTGTTGTAGAGGCAAACAAATTCTTAATACAGTTCTTTTCAATGCATGGGAGTATGCGGATACATTAGTAAATTACATCATTATGATTATATATATTTGTTGTTAGTTCGATTCGTGACTCTCTTAGGATAGGCTAATCAATATCAATAGTGTATTAGCAATCAGATGAACATGAATGTACATATAATTTCCATTCTCATTTAATTTTTGTATTTCGAAACTGGTGATAGATCATTCACTAATTTTTATTATATTATATATATTATACAAAACCTAAAAGAATTTAGATTTGATTGTTGCCACAAAACCTTAAACACAAATTTAAATTTGGATCAATTTTTACTGCACAAAATCGTGTTAAAATTCATGCTTATTATTTTTGGAATTGATAAAAATAAAATAGTATAGGTTTTTATGAAACACTTAAAGTATATTTTTAAAAACTAATGGTACGTTATAGTATGATATTTGAAAAATATTCTGTTACATTTTTATGTAAAAATATTAAAAAAATGTGGCAAAAAGAAAAAGGTTTTTTTAACAGCTGCACTTAGCGAACTCTAAAAGTTAACTGGGCGCTATACTTATAGCTTCTGATATAAAAACACTCGGAATTAAAGAAATGAAACTAGCGCACTTTATTTCCCTAAGCAATAGCGCAATTTTAATGTCGTTTTTAACTGCCTTTTCAAAGTCTTCATAACCTCTACCAGATCATTTCGAACGATTTAGCAAATATTCCTAAACTAAAAGCTTTCGAATTTAAAAAAAATCAGAAATCGCATCAAATCAAACGAAAAGGGATAGAGAACGGCGAAACATGATAGATGGAAAGTTGATATCGAAAAGAATAAAGTTCAACATACCTTCAGCGCATTTTATGCAACTGAGTCAACATTTCCGAGTACTTTTTGAACAGAATTTCTGCTATTTTAATAACCGATGTATGTTATTTATCCATATATTATATATTTGAGATGCTGGATCTACAACCACACATGTGTTATATATATATGAATTTTTAGACTGCATTAGTCGCGATTTTGTAGCAGTACATTAGTAAAGCGATAACAATTAGTCATGTTTAAGACCCAAATATAAGTCAAGCTCACATTTGAAAAGCATGCTCACTTTCAGTGTGTGCTGTTGGATAGTTCGCGTCGGTTTGTTATTAAATCTAAAATTATTTTATCAAAATGCACCTCATCGAGTTACTCTGCCTAATTTTGTGTTTAAATGTTTATGGTATAGAATCGTTTAATTTAGCTCCAAAACCAAATCTTATAATCAAGGAACCATTAAACGAAGCGCTTAAAAGTGTAAACGATACCCAAAAGCCGGACAGTTCCTACTTCGGTTACACGATACTTCTACGTGAGAAAAGGTAAACTACCACAAAGTGCTGCCTAAGTATCTAGATATGTCTATGTGATACCAAATAATTCTTTTTAAGCATTATAATCGGTGCACCACGAGCCTTAACCGAAGATGCAATTCGTGGACCGATTGAAACGGGTGCCATTTACAAATACGATTTTGCGACCAAAAAAGTGAAGCCATTTAATTTGGAAAAAGTTGGGGAATTTACGAATTTCATAAATCTGCAACAAAATACAGAGCAACAGTGGCTAGGTGGGTCCATGGATGGCGGCAGCAGTGATGAGGAGCCGTTGATTTTATGTGCCCCGCTAAAAACAGCCACTGTGGGCTATAAGTAAGTTTAGTAGGATATATTTAAGTTGGTATACTAGAGCATATAATAAAGAGAAAATAACAGAAAACATGAAAAACCGAGTTAGGGAAGGTGGATTTGAGATGCAGACGCATAATAACCATATAAATAGTGGGAAGTATTTGGTGATGTGAAGCAAATTATTTATATATATTGTATAAAATAATTCTGGTCAAATTTTGTGAAACTGTTGTCTCACTGGTGGTTCAAAGTCGGATTATTTTCAAAATGATTTCAAATGGCCGATACCTCATTATTTTATTATATTATATAAATTAGAATATTTAAACAAAATTTTATAACTTTAAAATTAAAAGCCTAATATTTTCTCGAATCTTTTTGTGAATTTTCAATTACGAGAATTTTAAGTTAGTACTTATTCTTATCAAAGCTGGTGCAAACATTCCATACTTTAACAAAAAATAAAAAGCAAAGAAATATAAGAATAAAGCACAAAATATCAATTTCGTTCATAAATGAGCAAGAATTTCGCTAAGCTACACAACCGCAGACGATTTGTCCAGCTTTAAGGAATGAACGAAATGATTTGGAACTAACTTACCATCTTATAGAAGATCAAACAATTCGTCAAGTAAGTTGGACTCTTAGTGTAGACACAAGCCAGCAGTCGGTTATGCCTCCTTCGATGCTTTGAAGAATCGACATAGATTGCATTTTCTAGAAAGTATTCGTTATTCATTTGAAGGAAATCTAACTGGAAAAGGTGTTTTTATTTCTATTCCTAATATATAACCCATCCTACGACGGTAAGAAATGAGCACGATGAGTCGTCGGTGTTGACAACTGAGCCGTGTTTTCAGAAAAAAGTGTGCAATATTTCAGATCGATATCTCAAAAACTGAGGGACTCCTTCCTTAGACACGAACGGATAGACAGGCAGACAGACGGACAGGGTTAAATGACTAAACTTGTCACGCTGACTATTTATATGTACTTAAATATTATATTAAAAACCAATGCCACATTTCGGGAAAATATCTCGTCAAATAAAAAAGTTTTCCATATAAACACGTTCATTTTATTATTATATTATTGGGGAGAAAAAGATGTGAGCAAAATTTCAAATCGATATCTCATAAACTGAGGGACTATATCGCGTACATACACACAGACTGGCATCGCAAAATTGACCCAGCTCATCATGCTGATCATTTATATGCCATATATATTTTATAGGGTTTTCGACGGTATCTTCTGCCTGTTACAGACTTCATGGCAAATTTAATAGATCCTGTTCCAGATATAGAAACAAAACGAAATTACTAAAATTCATATGATTCCACAACGCACGTTTAAAATAATTAACAACTTTAATGCTTATATATTTTCTTACTAATTTTAACCGAAAATCAGTCAAGCGTTTATGCATGGCATTTGCTATTGGACTAACAACACCCTGGATGATGACTTACAAGATCGAGTTTGGCAAATTTTAAGTCCATTTTCCGCTAAGGGTTTGTTCACTATTCAAGTTCCAAACTAATTATATGGTTGTGTTAAATGATTTTTTCATATGTATTTAGGTAAGCAGGATAGACAGGATGTCAAAGATGTCAGAAACAAAAATGTACCGCTATTTGGCGATCTGCGATATGGTGAATTTGGTTTCAGCGTGCAATTAACGCCGAACAATGAGGAAGTTATATCCGGATCACCAGGCGTCTACAATTGGGCAGGTAGGTGCAAATTCATTATGCTCCCTTGCATTACTAACCCGGAAAACCCATTTATTGGCATGACTAAATTGTGTCGACTGTTTCGATCTTATCTCTTGGTTGTATTAAACGCTGAACACGATTAGAAGTTTAAAAGGTCTAACTTGCTGTAGTTTTCAAATATCATCAATTAAATGCAGAAGGAAGAAAAAGCTGAGTCTCATTCAGCTTGAAACTCATCACCGATATTTCTAAGAGACTATGAAAACTTAGCATAAACGTGCACCAGAAACCTGTCATTCACTCTGCTGTAAGGGGTCGGTTTAATAACTCGAAGCTGTACCTAACAGAAGGTTCTAAGATTCAATTAAAAAATTTAGCACAAATCTGTAAACAATTCCAGTGGAAATAGGGGAAACGATGTTTATGATTAAAAGATATACAGAAGCGATTTTTGATGTTCGAAAGTATCGTAGATCTTCGGTTTTACTCTATCCATTGCTTACTCTTATAGACATAATTTTAGAGAAAGCCTTAGTTTTAAAGGTCGTCACTAAATACGGTAGGTGGCCAACACAAAAATATATACCCAAGCTAAAACAGGCCTATAATATTATATATATAAGGCTTAATAGGCGCCTTAAAAGCTTAGGTGGATTAATAACAAAAACTCGGATTATTCGAATTGATACCCTCATATTCAAGCATTTGTCTATCGATTATGTTATTTTACGCGCGAATAAAATGTATTTGATATCCTCCAGGAACGGTAATACACTTTAATATGAAGACTCAAAAACCCAAAGCGACAAAACACGCTACAGCAATGTCAACATATAAAGGATATGCTGTGGGATGTGGGCACTTCAATGGCAACAATTCGGGGAAGTTGTCTTACGTAGTTACTATGCCAAATGCGAACAGTGAAAGGAAATTGGGTCAGGTAAGTTCGTGGATGTGAGCTTTAACTAAATTAACCCACTTCCACCATAACTGCTTCTGTAGGCACACATTTACACTGCATCGCTAAGTTGGGATAATACGTTCCACTTGCAAAGGGGAGAGTCCGGTAATCAATATGGCGAGTATTTCGGTTATTCCCTACTGGTGGATGACTTGAACGGTGACGGCATCGATGATATGCTCATTAGTGCACCATATCGTATAGTTAACGATATTTTCGAAGCGGGTGCGGTCTATGTGTTTATAAATCGTGGAAATAGACATCAGGTATGAACCCTCAGTAATTGTGTGCATACATACAAACATATATATCTACAAAATATAGACGTGAACTCGATTAAAAATTGACTGGATCCAGTAAATAACTACCATTTTGCGGGTCGTGTGGTCGCATTTGGTCTTCTTCTTTTTCTTAAACATTTGCTTAAAGTACATATTTATTCAGAACCAAGACTTGAAGATTTGTCCTGCTTTTACTCAGTACGATAGTGCCGTTTTGTCCGGCACACTTTTAATTTAGACCGAAATTATTTTGAGGTGGCTATTTAGGCCTCAGATAACTCAGGATTTGCAAATCAATCCGACTGAGTTCGATTACAAACTTCAATCAATCACGAAACTTAACCTGAACTCATAATTCCTATACTCGTAAATGTTGAAAATCATTGGAATATAAAAAATAATATTGTCAATTTAAGGAATCGTTCAAAAGACGATACCATACAGTGGACGGCATTCAGGCAATTAATATATTACTTTCTGAATGGGCTTACATTAGTTCACACAATATTAGAAACCTATGTAAATAATTTTTATACTATAAAGATTCCTTCACTTCTTTATATCGTTCTTTAAGTTGAATTTCAAGCAAACACTGTTGGAGTCTCCGTTCTCGAGTAGTGGACACTTTGGAACTTCGTTGGGTAAACTGGGAGACATCAATGGTGATGGTTATAAAGGTGAGCTCTCTGACCACTTATATATATTACTTACCATTTGCTTACTTAACGGACTTTTCCTATTACATTCCCATATCGACAGACATAGCCATTGGCGCTCCCTTCGCTGGTAATAATGGCAATGGGGCGGTGGCCATCTACTTTGGTGGTCCGAACGGTCTCGAAATTCAACCACGACAGATATTGAACGTGAGCGAGGACTTAGTCCGCAGTGGTGGCATGTTCGGTCACGGCCTCTCCAGAGGTGTTGATATCGATGCGAATTCCTATAATCTGGCTGTCGGCGCACCAAATGCGGATGTGGTGTTTGTTTATCACGCCTATCCGGTGGTGAAGATTAATGCAACAGTCCATCCAAAAAGTTTAATAATTCCAACAAATACAACAAGTTTAAAATTCGATATATGCATTAACATTCAGACTAATTCGACGAAGATTCAAACACAAGAGGTGCTACTCGATCTCAGTGTGGGTGCTGGAGAAAAGCGTATAAATGTGGCGCATTGCATTAGCAAGGACCCCTTCGTGGCGAGTTTTACTCCACAATGTTTGCCATGTAATGCCACGCTCTTATCCGATGATCGTTATATATTTGTACCGATAATTATGGAATTTACTTATCGTTTGAAAAATGATGGCAAGACGCAAAAGGACTCAGGTGAGTAACAAAATTATATAAAATTTTAGATAAGTTTGACTAGTCAAAGATTTTTGAATCAAGAACAGGATGTCCTTATGTAGAGTCCTATTGTCTTTTAAAAACACAACGGACGACGGAAAATAATACTTCCTCTGTCACGAAAGCCAACTTTCATGCAGACGTTGTTGAAGAGAGATCTTCTCAGACTTTATATTTTGACTCTCTCTACAAGATTGATCAAATTAAACTAAGTCAAGATGTTATATCTGAACCCTTCGTTTTTTAAAAGCTAAAGCCATTTACTAGCTGTTGTGAACTAAGCAGAGCTCATTTCAAACAGTAATATTGTAAAAGATGATCGAAAATATTTTTCAAATATACCCGAATCAATGTCTCTCCAGACTTTAAATATAGCCTTTTTATTTTACAGAATTTTGCATTGATTGTGCAGTGGTAGATCCTGCTTGGCCAAGCATGGCGAAAGCTGAAATCCACTACCTACATAATTGCAAGGGTTCTGTTTGCTCCGTCGATCTGCAGTTGCAAAGTATGGAAATACCGTAAGTTATTTTAAAAGTATATAGTTGAACTATATATGCATATGTATATTTTTGGATAGTGAGAGGTGATGGACCAAATTTGATTTATAATCGACATCGCAAAGGTTTAATATTCAATAAATAGATACTAGGATTATTCCATTTATTATTATAATAAGTGTAAAAATAGCTGCATGTGCCTCAAACCCCTTAATTGGAACCATTAGTTTTGATGGTATTACTATCCATAAGTTAGCCTCAGCTCTTCTGAGATTGAAGAAAATCTGAAACTTTGGATATCCAATAGAATCGGACAAAACTGAAAATATTACATGCATGGGTCCAAGTCCGGGGGAGGGTCCAAGTCCGCATATAATATATAAATTTAATTTACCTTCTTTCTTTCTGATACCAGTGACAATGTAGTATTGGGCAGCGACCGCATATTACCACTCAAATATGTCATTACCAACGTGGGCGAAGAAGCCTACAATACCAGACTTATCATAAAATCCTCCTTAAACGTGCCCATCGCCAAAATGCCCGCCGAATGTATTGGAGATTTTGCTTGGCATGTGATATGCAGCATTGCGAAGCGTCGGGCCTTCAAAGATTCCACAGAACTAGAGCTCAGCCTTGATCTAAGTAATGTAGTCGGTGCTACTGAAGTGGGTATAAATGCAACTGTTCAAAGTACGGGAAATGAAAGGCAGCCAATTGATAACAAATTGTTTGACAAAGTGAAACTCACAACAACAGTTGAGATTTGGATAACCGAGTGAGTCGTTTACGAATTTAGTTAGAAAGTAATTTTACGAATAATTCACTTCAATTTACAGGACTTCAATGAACAAAATTTTTGCTGTGACTGATGGGAAAGAGAATATTCCGGTTTCAACGGCTTTTGAGGTGAGTTTAGGTGCTGCTATAGTTAAATTGAACTAATTGCATTAAAAACTAATCATAGTATAAACATTTTGAAAAAGTATTCTTAAATTTTGTTATAGAAATGACGTCTAGTTAGGAATCAAGTCGTTTCCGGTTGAGACTTTAGAATGTTATATGAATTTGGTTTGGTGCTCTATAAACTGAAGTGTTTCTCTTATGTTTAGGTAAAGTCTGTGTAGAGAAGAACGTTACCAGCAATACTAATCTATGCCACATAACTTGGGTCACATCATATTCACTGCATGCCTTTAAAAAGTATCTGTCTTTTCCCAGTAGGTATCCATGCGGCGAGATTGAAAATCTTACCAGATGCCAATCGTAGCAATTGCTTGAACGTAGATAATTCAGATTCATGTTTCCACTATGCGTGTTTTCAGACATCCCAAAAGACTGTGTATAGCAGACCAAGTGACACCAATTGGATGATTTCAGGACAATAATAGTTGTATTACTTCTTCAAAGACTGCTGAGGAGTTTTCTGAAAATAAAAGGGTTAAACATTCCAAAATGTTCTCATTTACTCATGAATACTCTACTGGAAATTATGGACCAATCATGAAACAGCTTCCTGAAGTTCAAACTTACATTTCAAACTCAAGATGATCCCAAATTTGAGAGTTATATAAGAAATTATAAATTTATTACCTTAATAATTCTTAAAGACTATGTATTTTTTGTGGCTCTTCTGTAGTACTCCTCTCAACGCTGCAAAGATCGATCGTAGTTTAAATTTTGCAAATCGAGTGTTCTTAACATCGACCTAAACTTTGAAGGGTACCGAGAGGTTACTAACCACAAATAAGACAAAAGAACTCGTCGAAAAACTTTCAAAGTATTGGAGTTTAGATTTAATATATATGTATATACAACTCTTTACAGATACAAAATAACGGCCCCAGTCCGTTGAGTCACTTTCACTTAATTGTTGATTTTCCCATTGGATTCAGTGGCAGCAAATATATCAGCAATTACTCAGCTTATGCTTATTCCAACAACTTTGAGTATTCGCCTTTAACGTTCGACGACGTATCTGCACCAGTGTCACCAACAACTACCGAGATTTTATACTTGAATTATTTGCCCAAAAATCACACGACTGTCGTCAGTTGCCAGTCAACTGAAGACTTCAAGTCGAAAATGTCATGCGCCTTGAGTGATTTACTGCTGACGAATGCCTTATACCCTGGCGAGAATATCACGTTGGTATTGAACTACGAAATGAACTGGAAAATTGCTGAGAAGCTGTTACTGAGCAATAACCATTATTTGGCCCATGTTGCAATGGTGAATTTGAAGTCTGATACACCACTAAATACGTAAATAACTAGCTACTTGAATACAGTGATTATATTGTACTCACATATGTTTTGTGTTTTTAGAATCCTAAGCGTTAAAAAGCATTTCAAAGGCGCCATATTTGTGAAGATCGTTAAACGTAATCTACTCTGGATATATTTGGGCGCAATAATTGGTGGTATACTCTTGCTTATTGGAATGATATTACTGCTAAGAAAGGTAAGCAAATTTGATACAGTTGTCTCGTGAATCTGTGGTGAATCGAACAAACTAAGCAATAGTCACGCATACAATAGATTGAGAGCGGAGCACGCGGTTATATGTACTGTTTAATGAGACAATCTCTGTTGAATTTTATTGAATAACTGTTTTGTTTTTCATAAGCAAATGAGAGCAAACTTAAAAATATGCAAGCAGAAAAATGGCGAATCGAAGGCGGCTTATGTTGCTGACGAAATATTTATGATCATGTGAAACTGCATAAGTGCCTTCTAAATCTTCTGTTGATTAACAACAAATATAATATTTATTTTTCTTGTTCTTATTTAAATATTTCTTCCTTTCAGCTGGGCTTCTTTAAACGACTAACAAAGGAAGAAATGACAAAGAATTTGAATGAAAAGCTTGAAATAGCGCGCATGAAGGAAGATCTCGATGTGTGTGTTGCTGAAAAAGAAGATGATTTAAGCAGTTCTTAGTGTGTGTTATTCATTATTTATAAAAAAAAAAATTTATAAAAAATTAAGCCGATTGTTGCTAGTGCAGACATAACTGCCCAGGGGTTTCCGTTGCGCTAATAAATCTTAAATATCAAAAAAATTTAATTCTCCAGAACTTAAAAGTGGAACTGAAATTTCATAAAACTCTATTTTCTAAGTTTTCCAAAAGCCTGCTTTTTCAAATTTGAGCAAACTATGTCCCCCTCCAGTTTATAAATGATATTATAAAGCGTCAGGAAGGCTTAAGAAAGTTTAAAGATGATCTGCCAGCGTTTCTCGTACAGTCATATCATAACTTGAGTAAACAAACGCTAATTTGGATTGAGAATGCAGCTCTGAATGTAAAGTATCGCTTGTCAAATCTTCTAAAGATGGTATGTATTTCTGAATATATGAATTTATAGTGAAAATTTCTTCGGAGGACTCATGGATCATTAGCTGTTGCAACCAATCGCTAACGCATGAACAAAGATCGATACGAACCTAAATGACTTCAAAATAGATCAAGGGAGTAAAAATCAAAGACCTTGCAAACTTAAACATATTTAATAAGTCTCTAAGCTCTACTACAATGAGCCTAAACTGCTTCAGAAAAGCCCATTGGAAACAGATTTGGCTGCGTTTGATGTTTCGAATTTATGGCAAATCGAGCCTTCCATACCTAGAAGAAGATATAGCTGGGAAGACACTGCAGTAATCTGGAAGTCGAAAGGCGATTTTGGTACTTTTTAAAGAAAAAACACAGAAAATTCAAATTTAATGGGGAATGTTCGATGATTCCACCGGCCCACAAACCACACCAAACCGTTGTTTTTTTCTGGATGATATGCCAGCTATTGAATCTCTTCAGGTTGCTCTTCCTCTCAAACGCGGCAATTTTGCTTGTTTACATATCCATTGGTCGATTATGTTGACCATAAGTTGAGTGAAGCGCGCAAAACGCAATATTTATAGAACGTGAAGTTTCGTAATAAAGTTGAACTATTTGTAAACGTCGTTCAGGCGTAAGCCTTTAGCACGGCGAAATGCCAAACAATACTGAACAAAAATGACATGAAAGCTTGATACGACTCTCGCGTGATCTATCAAAAAACTATTGAAAAAACCTCTATTTGGATCACCCGTTAGATATGCCTATCCCTAGCTCCTTGTCCGCTTCGCTCTTTTCCCGCTCTTCTCTGGAGGGGAAGGCAATATTGGGGACCGGATTTAGATTCAGCTCTATAGGATTTTGAAAATCCGTGATTTTGGGAAGAAACGGGAACTTAACTTACAATAAATATGATGAAATATTTAACTTCGAATTCTTTAAAACCAAACACATTTATTCATTCTTACTTTATTTTCCCAGCTTTTTTTTTACAATCTTTACTTTTTACAGATTTCTTAGTAACACGCATACATTTACATAATTACACATACGAACATGCAAGTTTAGTCGCTGGTGTATTCCTAATAGCCTATTCGTATTTGCATTAAAAAAGAAGTGACACTATTGTTGTTGTTTTCAAATATAGAGAAAATAAGGAGAGCTCTTCCTCTTGGACTTTTGTATGCAAATATTTGTTGTTTGTTTGTTTTTGCTTTTGTTCTGTCGTTTCCGGTTTGTGTCGTTGACAAATGTAAAATTTTATTTTACCTAACTATTTAAGTGTATATGTGTATACAAGTATGTATATATATATTATATATCTGTAACGGCATTTTATTTAACAGCATTTTCACATTTTTAGGCAAATATAACATACATACATATGTATTTCTTTGGCTCTACACTTATACATTTTACAGTTATATTGTTTTCAAACTATGTTTGTATGTGTGTGTGCATAATTAAAAGTTCATTCATTTGTCTATATGTACGTAAGCTTTCCTTTTGCTTTGCTGTGACACTCATACATTGGTAGATATGTATAGGTACACATACATACATAGTATTAGGTACACATCCATATGTACGCTGACTTCGAGGATATGTGCAATTATGAATATGTCGAGAATTAAATTTTAAATAAAATAGTTACTTAGTTAGATACTTTTCTCTAGGTACATGTGTATGCTTATATAATAAGTCATATATTATGTAGGTATATACATTGTCGGGCAAAATACTTATGTCTGTTGCATAGCCACATATACTTGTATAAGACAGTTGTGTAGAGAAAAGAGTTAAGTTTATTTTCTTGTTGATATCTTAATTATTAGTTTTACGATATAAAAGAGAGTTTATGAAGTTAATAAGAAAAAATAATTATAACTTATGAAATATTTTGACATATTGCCACCAAGTGAAAAAATTAAAAATTTTTAGAATAAAATAATACAAGAAAAACGCTAACTTCGGCTGCATCGAGGCTATAATACCCTTCACAAGTGCATTCTTTTATGGCATAAAAGAGTATGAAAAGATTTTGATAAGTCAGTTTGTATGACAGCTATATGACATAGAGGTCCACAGATTATTGTCGATTAAAAAAAATGACCATATACAGACTTTATTTTGATTTCTCAGTTTGTATGGCAGCTATAGGCTGTAGTGGTCTGATAACGACGGTTCTGACAAATCTTGGTGAGAAAATTTTATTGGCATCCATCGATAATGTCCGAAATTAATCGGAAATGCAATTTTATAGTATAAAGGGGTGGAGTTATGGACCAGGAGAGTATTCGAAGCTTTTCAAAACATTATACTTTTCACTCTATTTGCGTTACGAGTCAATTATAGGCGTTTACAAACTCTTAATTGTATATGTATGTTCGGGGCTTGACATTGGCTTCGGCGAGTGGAGAGCGAATAGAGAAGAACTCTTCTTAAGGCACACTGACGTGGAAGTGTCAGTGAGCCGTCTAATTGATAATATATTGAATTCTTAATTATCCTCATAATCATTCAATTTTATTATTGGATTAAGTATTTTTGCTTTGGAAGGTAATTTTTTTATTTCAATTACTTAAAGCATAACTAAATATATTTTGGATTGTTGTTTTTGTTCTAGTAATTCCACCTGTTCAATGAGCCTTGATTCTTTGAATTTGTAATTTCCTCAGCGTTTTTTTTCAATTATTGGCCTATCAACGACAGCTCGAGAATGCTTTATTTTAAGATGTATAATGGGGAATATTTTTAAGAGCAGCTTCAATATAAAAACCAAACAAAGAAGGTAGTTATAGCTATGTTCTATTCTCCAAACGTTACTCTGCAGCGATCGAACAAACTATATCAGTTGCTCAAACAAACGGGCAGCACTTGTGGTGCAACCCTGCGCTAACATATCTTCTAACGCATGCGCAATGGTGCTGTGATTCTTTCTTAGTGGAGTAACTCTTTTTTTCACGTTAAAAAACGTTGCTGCAATCACTTATTTTGCTTTTCAATAAATTATTATGATTGATTTATGTTTAAAAATAAAATTGGTAATTTCATATACCATTTGAATCATTCTCAATAGTAATAGTGAGCTAAAATATTCAAAACACAACTTGGCAGCATTGAAGATAGAAGTTATAACAATTCAATAAGGTATCCGCATACTCTGCTACTTAAATTCAACTCGATAACTTTGTTGTTGCTTTCATACATACATGTTTGACAAGAGAGCAGAGAAATAACCAATCGAAGACCGCTTATATGATTCATATGTTTTTAGGTAAACTTAACGTACAAATTAGACGAATTTTGGATTTGATAAAAAGCTGGTTTAATGGAAAAAATGCTGCTGATACCAGTCAGTGGGTTAATAAGTCTTATTCAAACTCTGTACTAGTTGGAGCAATTGCTCGTTAGTGATTGCTAAATTACGTACAGATTACACGAACAACAAAGACCTTGAACCCAGTGGATGATGCCCAAAGAGGCTGTTACGAATAAAATCGTCAAAAAATCGACAAAAGGATTTTAGGTGATTTTAAAATGAAGTTGATACAGGTAGCTAATAGGAATGTGATTTACAATTGGTTAATGCAAATTTGAGTATTTAAAAACTCTATGAAAAGTGGTTGCCGTAAGAACTTTAAATACGATGTACAAAGTCAAAAAAGATCCATAAAATAGATTCCGCACTGTCATCCACCAAATTCTCGCAATCTAAGTCCCACCGACTTTTTCTGTTCTAAGCCATTAAGTTAATGCTCGCTGAAACGAAATTAAGTGACTAATCACTACGAGTGGTACCTATTTTGGGTTTACTACAAAAATGCTATCGAAAAGTTGGAAATCGCTTGTATAGATATATTGGCCTCGTGTGTAGCTGTGCTGTATAACAAAGTATATTTTAGTTATATGTACTGAGCTGTCGTAAGTTTTTGCTGAGTATTTCAACCGAAAATAATATTTCGAGAATTTGTTGGTAAAATTTTGTTTTCCTGCATTAAGACTTGCTTTTTAACTTGCACAAATATGTTTTGGTATTATAACAAGAATAAAAAAATCACAAAAGATATATAAGAAAATATTAAAAATCGGAAAACATAATAATAACCTTACTAATTTAATAATAGACATTTATATAGCTACTTAGACGATAAGAAGCACATACATTTATTTATTTCGCTATACATACTAAACTCTTAAAATCAAGCAATTGAAGATCTACTATATATAAGAGATAGCGCTTTATTTCTCTGTAAGGACAATGCGTTTATTATTATAACATTTATATTAAAATTTCTTATAACTAACTTATTTTAAAATATTTCAAATATTTTGATTTTGATTTGAATTTATATTTGTTCAAATATATTTTCAACATTTTGCACACACGCATATATAATATATGGCATTGTAAAAATCAATAATCAATTGTATTGTCAAAATTACTTTCATATTACCATAAATGTACATATAATACCTTATAATACATGCGTACATACTCGTACATTGAATTGTACGCATATATTTACTTATTGCTAACAACGGTGCTGCTTTTAAAAACAGTTTTCATGCTTTTTGCGCATAGACATTGGCTGCTTAATCGCTAATAATTATCAATTACATAACAGTTAGTTTGTGTACTTTTGTTTTGGTGAATTTCACTTGATATGATAGTGTGTTTGCGTCGTCGTGGAGCGCTGCTAAAAGTAGAAGGTGTGAATTGGATTTAATTATCAAGCTAAAAAATAAACAAAATTTGCTCCGTATGAACTCTTTTTTACTAAATCTCATTAAAAATATAAATGTTCGAGTTATTGTAGTTATAATAGTTTTGTTATTTTTTAGGTATTTTCAAATATGCGAGTATTCTGTGGTCTTAGTTTTGAGTCTATAGCTCAAGAAAGCTATATTTAGAGTTAATCCTTGCTTTTATATTTTAATGTTATGTTTTGTGTTTTTTTTATTTTAAAATTTGCTTTATTTACTCCAACAAATCATATTGTCAAGGGAAATTTTCTAACTCAATTTTTACTATTTCTATAAGCAGAAATGCTGACCTTCAAACATTTCGACTCTCAAAAATAAACCACCACAACAAATTTTTCATAAGCGAACTAACGGTTTTAAATACAATTAAAAAGTTTTCCAAAAAAATAGTTTGTTTGGCGGTCATTTGTCAGTGCGGCTTTAAAAGGCAACCATTTATTGCCTATGGAAGTATAAATTAAGAAATTTATGTTACTTAAATTAGGCTTCATAAGGCCCCAGTACTCCTTTGGCCTGATCTCGCGACATGTCATTACAGAAAAATTGCTTTAAAGTGGTACCAAAGCAAAAGAGTGGCTGTTGTTCCTAAAAAGCCGAATCTTACGAATTGACGAGAGCTCAGGCAAATGAGACTTACTGGGCCATTATTAAAAAAAAACTTTTAAAGACCCAAACAAGCTGAAAAATATGCAAGGCAATTTAAAAATAAATGGCGAAACGTAACCAAAGACTTCAGTTAAGATTCTGTACAAGCGGTTATGAAGAATGTTAACCCAAAATTGCGATTATTTGCTTATAAAAAAACAAACTGAATATGTTTTTTTTTTAATTCGTATAAACCTATATGTAAACTATTACTTGTATATATTTGAAATTGAATAGTAAATATAAGTTTTATAACGTTATTGGTGCACAATTTTTATCGTGCATAAACTTTCGTTTTAGAAGTCTCTTTTTCGAATAAAGTCTTTAGAATGTAAAGAATATAAGTGTATTTATATTACAAAAATTAGTTAAACATACCAATAAGTTTTTACTAAAACAAAATATTACGAGTTTGCTATGGAGACCTCCTTATATTATATTAAAACTACCAGTACTTGTATGGTTCTATATATATCAACTCTTCGTATTATGCTATTATGTATGATAACTAGCGCAAATATAGTAGCCGCTGGGCAACCATATATCAAAATTTGTGCCGCGTATGGCAACGGGCTACTGATTATAGGCAAATGAGTAGCTAGTCGCTGTTTTTAAATTGTGTATAACTACAATCTCTTTTCATATAACACAAAAAATTACAAACTCCGGAAACTGCTCAAGACCCATAGTCTACAATATTTTACGTGTTTTGGAGTATGGATACGTAGAATATCTTTGAATATTTATATAACCTATTATATTATGTTATAAGGTCCGCCTGTCTGTTCGCCTGTCTGTATGTACGCGAACTAGTCAATCAGTTTTTGAGATATCAATTTTAAATTGTACCCACGTCCATTTCTCACCAAGCAGCTACTTATTTGTTGGAACCGCCGACATCGGACAACTAGAGTCAATAGCTGTTATACAAATTATCCAATCAAAATCAAGTTATTGTATAGAAAACTTTTTAATTTGAACAAAATTTTTACCCGAAGCTTGGCATTAACCAAACTCACTTCCTTATAGAGAAAACTTTTTGTTTTGACAAGGTTTCTCCACAAAATCTGAAAAGAATTTTTGGCAAAAGCATCGCTACAGTCGCCGAACATTTTGGTTCAGATTAGACCAAAATAGCATAAATATATAACAATTATTTTACATATTTCACATTAAATATTTTTTGAAAATTAATCTAAAAAAAATCACTGCTTTTCCAGCACGTTATGAAAAACTATTTTTCAAAATATAATATTACTCTTTTCATAATTGAATTGTTTTTTTTTTTTTGCCATGAATAAGTCTTTAATCTTTACAATATCTATTGATAATTTAATCAATTATTTTAGTAATAAAGCAATACTTTTAACAACGCTGCTCAAAAATTTAAACTCAGAGATGTTATTGGCATTTACGAGTATACTAGAATTAGTAGCCATACGAGGCACAAAATAATGATAGTAGCAATGACTAGTCGCCTTACATAATAGTGTTATTAGATTGATGAACCACTCAAAAATTTTCAAATTCTGCAATTCTTAGCATTCGTTTCTAGTATAGTCTAACTACCTGGTTCTTATTATCTTTTTGTGTTAAACAGCTTACCCTCACACACTTAACTAACTAACACACAGTAAATTGCAAAATTTCTCTGTTAGTAGTGAATATTATAAAAAAGTATTATCTTTCCAAACAAATGAACACAAAACATGTAAGCCTATAAGGTATTTAAATAAAAGAAACAATGCAATAAAATTTCATAGCGCTTAATACAGGCGTTTATTAAAAATTTGCGCGAAAATTTAAAGAAAAATGCAATAAAATCATGAGTATAAGTACAATAAAAATGTGTGCCGAAAATATTGGTTTTGTGCTGCAACAAAGCCAAGTACTTAAGGAAAAGCAAATACAATAACTTATTTTTTATGTGTAGGTGGCAACTTTGCACCGTTTCACAGCTAAATTTGTGTGTAATTAAAAATAAAATTTTATTTGCTTTCTTGCTTTGCTTACATAAGTAACTGACGACATCATTTATAAATAATTTTTATGTTTTTGATATACTCGCAACATGTTGCTACAGATTATAATAGTGTTGTCTGCTTTTTTTTGTTGCTGCTGTATGTAAGTATTTATTTGTGTAGGAAGCTAGAGATCTGTTTTACATAATTTTCGGCTGCTTATTCAAATAATATAGTAACAATAAAAATAGCGAAATAAAAAGATTTTTGAGCATGCGTTTTTTTAATACATTTCTTACAATCGCAGTGGCATACATATTCTCGTACATATATATTTATATAAATATAACTATTTTAATTAAAACTAAGTTTTGGCAATACAATAACAATGCGAATGGCAGCACTTAAGACTACGACAAATTTAACGGTTTTCGTTTTTTTTTTTTTGGTGTATTAAGAGCAAAAGCGAATTGCAAATAGTAATAAATACAGTTAGATATTTAACGGTAAATGGCAAAATAGTTGTTTGGGTTGCTTAATTTAGCTTTACATAATATTTGCCGAAAATATAATATAAACAACTATAAAATTTAATAAAAAAAAACCAAATTTTAGCCAAGCGGATTAAAATATAACGGCGCATTTAAGTATGCACTGCTGAAACTGACAATCGTTATAGCTCTCTCTCTCTCTTCGAAATTTCCGGCGATTTTTCTTTTTAATGCAGTTGAGCAATCACACACACGCGTCTAACTTACATGTAAAAACATTTTAAAACTTCATAGATATATGCATATATACCATATACTATATATTATTTAAAAAAGAAAATGTTTATAAACATGCTTTAAAGGGTCTCAAATACATACATAATTTGCTACTAGACCTAGTTTTCAACGTCAGCTTAATTGTATACATATAGATATTTCATTTAATATGCTGCTGACACTACAAACATATATATAAATTCATGTATACATATATATATAAATATATATTACTATTTTTTTCAAAACGCTCGCTAAACACTCTACACCACTAATCAACAACGTCGAATCACATACATATTTATGTACAATAAAAACACAAACAATTAATTAAGGTAGCTAGTTCCTATAAATGCGCACGCGCGCTTTTGTTGCATTACAGGTAGTATATGTGTATATGTGTATGCCGTAGGCGTTTGATTTCGGCTTTTACCGATCAGCACATTGTCTCATTGTACGGTGGATCCTTCTCTGATTCGGTGCTGGACTTAATGTTGGACGAGAGCTTGGCGATTTCATCCTGTACCGTGTGTGTGCTTATTTGCGGCATAGTCGCGCCGGTGAGCGCTGGTTCGCCGCCACCGCCACTCTCTTTCGACTCCTCCGTGCTGGAGCTGCTCTCCTTAAGTATGTTCATGCCGAGCGTTTTGATGCCGCCGGGCGGCTTGAGTGAGGACAACAATTTGGCTGGCACAGCAAGCGCTGGCAGCACAGCACCGCTCGCGCTCGCCTTGTCGGCCAATACGCTGGCCGCTGTCGCTGTAGCGCTTGCCGCCAACGTAGTGGCCGGCAACACATTGTGCTGCTGCTGATGTTGTTGTTGGTGTTGTACATGCGAGCCGTATTGCAGCTGCTGCGGCTGCGTTTTGTTCGACTGATCCATGCTAAACTGCTTCTTCAGCTGCATGGCACGCGGCAACGCGGACTGCACCTGCGATATTACCGCCGCCGCAGCTGCGGCTGTGGCACTCAACTCAATGGTGTCGCTGGCGCGTTTGCCTGCTCCATCGCGCTTGCGGTCGCCAGCGCCCATGGAGGCGGTGCGCAGCGGCTGATAACGCGCGGTGGTGTCGCTCGCGCTGCCGCCATTGCCTGCTGCCGTGTTGCTGGCGTTGTTGCTGACGTTGCATTCCGTCAGAGTTGTGCTGGTTGTTGTTTGTTGCGCCGTTGTTTGTGTGTTAACGTCGACGGTGTCGAGAGAGAGCTCGGCCGCTAGCGATGGTGTGTCGATGTTGTAGGAACCGGTCATTGAGGTGGTTGTGTCGTTTGAACTTTGCTTAATAAAACGATATGGATGTGCTGAATAGTCGGTCTCTGTGCTAGAGCCCTTTTGTAGGCTTTCGCTGGATTTCTTAAATAGCCTGCCGGTGCTTTCGAATGGCGCATTGAGGAATTCGCTGGTGGCACGCGTTGGCCCCGCTGACGTTTGATATGTCTGCTGCTGTTCCATTGATGAGTTGCGTTGCCATGGGCGTTCGTTCTTTAATTGAAAACCGGCTGGTCCGGTGGATGAGCTCGTAAATACACCGGGTGTGATGCCGCCTCCTCCTCCGCTGCCGGCTCCGCTTGTGTCGCTGCTGTTGCCGCAGCCGAGCACGCCACCACCGGAAGGCGGCTTGGACGGCGAAAGTTCGATGGCTGTCTCCCGACGTAGTGGATGGCGATGACTAAACTCGGCTGATGCACCGGTCTGAAAAAATAAAGCATTAGATTGACGTTTTTATCTGAGTTCGAGATATATAACTGTGGGGTGAAAAAAAGACCCAACAGTCAATTCCATGTATATGTTTCATTTTTCAAAAAATTTGCCATTAATCACAGGTCACAAGTGTCGCTGACGCAAGAATCAGTGGACTTGAAAAATGTTGCCACACAACTGGAAATAGAGCAATAGTAGGAAGGTGGTATGTCTTACTAATTAGTCGATTAGCCTTTCCATTGTTCGAAAAAGTTCACAGACACTCAGCTATATATACTTCTACATATGTATGTTGGTGCATGCAACATGTGGCACAAATGTTTGCCTTTCGTTGCACAAAAAAGACATTTGCAAATATTTGCACTGTGGTATTCTGCAAATATGTGCGTATGTATGTGTGCTTAAGCAGCTGAAAACGAACAATGTAGATGGCTTCATTGAATGGAAAAGCAGAAACAATAGACTGGAGCGTTTACTACGCCCACATACTTTCACACGTAGGTTGCCATATTTATGTGCGCTTGTGTACTTGTCTACTCACCCCGAAGGAAGTGTCGGTGTCATCGATGGACGCACGTGCCTGAAACAGTCCTTCGAGCATCATGTAATCGTTCTCCTCGCATTCCTTTAAATGCTGCTTCTCCATCAGAGCAGCAAACTCAGCCTTGGACATTTCACCCGTCGGACGATCCAGTGATGCTGTGGTTAATGTCGGAAAAATAGTAGAGTAAAATTTGAGTAAGAGATATATGTGTGATGACAAAACATAATTCTGAAAGGATAATAATTTACATACATATAGGGCTGCTGAATCAAGCCTGCTCAAGCTTAACTAAGTAAGTCGTAAACAATAGTTTCAAAGAAACAACAAGCGGGACTGTTGCCATATTAGCTATATTTCACAACTAAATCCTTGAAATATTAAAAATCAAAAAAAATTCTCAACCTATTTCTCTTGTTTGATACGATAAATGTTTTAAAAACTTTTTTGAATAAAAAATTTTAAAGAGGTGGCAACTTTTCTAAACAATTATTTCTGGAATATTAAGGTTTTCTAAAACCAGATTGAAATAGCTCATTTGTAAGACCAATTTACTTGTATATAAAATTCCAAACAAGTGGCAACTCTTATAAAAAATTCAAAAAAAAGGTAATGTATTTCATTTAAAAATAAACATCTTGTAACCCTCTTTAAAATTGTACAAAATTTCTGACAGTTGGTAACCCGCCCCTAAACATATTTCATTTATAAACTTTCTTAAAATCTAACTCTTGAGTTCGAAATATTTCTTGATCCTTTAAATTTTTTGGACTTCAAATTTTCAACAGGTAGAACTGAATAAACTTTTTTCTATCCGAGTATTAACTTAACTCTGATTAAAATCGGTAACCGTTCAGAACCGAATTTTCCTCACGAAGATTGCTTCGGAAAAGCGCCTTGAATATATTGTACTCGTATAAGAAGATATATAGAAAGCATGTATTTTGAATAATGATTACATTGGGTACACCTAAGTAAGAAACCTTTTTAACGGGTTCATAAATTTGCTATTGGAAATAGAAATTCGATAGCTCAAACGCTACAAAATCTGCAAGCTCATATTCGGCACACTCTTGCTTTCAAAGTTATAACTCCTTAGTAATACAATAGCTTCCTTAATGCATCAGAGTTCTCAAAACTAGCTTTAAAACCAAAAAACATTTGACTAATTAAAGAAAAAATTGTACATTATATCTACAGAAGGACTCATTTCACCACTTGGTGACAGTCTGCAATTACAAAGAACTCCCAAATGCTTCTAGACTAACATAACCTAACCATAATACAACCTCAACTAATTATCGTCACAATAATTCTACTAACTTTCGTATCTACTTTTGGGTTATAGAAAAAATGCAAAATCATGTTGAATGAAATATTTCCAAATTAAGGATTTACTATCAATTGATTATTTTGGCTTTAATTGGAAAATAAATATATTTTGATTTAATGTAATTGTTTTTAAAGTTTTTTTCTAAGCAATTTAAGTATTACGCAGCTTTGAATAATTGAAATACCAATTAAATATTATTTAATTACCTTACGGTTAATTAACTCACCAATCCAATTACAGAAAAATATACTATTTTGCTTATACAATATGTACACACACAAACATACATATATTATTTATGTAATATTGAAACACTAACCTTTATTACTTGGCAATGAGACCGTCGGCGAGGCAATCAAATGGCAAACACTCTCCAATTCATCAGTAATTGAAGTGTACTCGGTATGAAACTTCAGCAGAATATTTCTAGAAGATTTCGCATGCAACGTGGCTTTTCCTGGTGACACAACGGACCAAGGCAATATCAAAAGCACGAGAGAAATAGAGAGAAATAGAGTGGCGAGTAAGAGAAAGAATCCATTTTTTACAATAATAATGGTAGATGAGAGAGCAAAGTAAATAAATAAAAAGAAATTACATTAATGAATGCAAAAACAAGAAAAAGATTAATAACCAGAATATAAAAAACTAAAAATATATTAAAAAAATAGAAATAAATAAAAAATACAAATGCAAAAAATAAAAATGAATTAGAAGCTCTAATAAAAACCAAAATAAATTTCAATTTATTTACTTATACATTGTATAATTAGCTTTAGGATTTTGAAATTCACTAACTTCTTTAAATAATGAGTGTTTTTGAGTGCGCGTGCTCTTCTACAGCGAGAATAAGTGTTGATAACTATTTTCAATAATAAAGGGTGTGGTTTTATACATGTTGATTTCAAGATAAAATAAAACGCAGACAATTTATTCAACCAAAAGCGAGCTTCATCATTGAACACAATCTTGTGAAAATCGGGATCGGGGTTCATCTCATTTTGGGCCTATTCACCGAACGTGCGACGCGCTGATGGTCTTTCGACTTCTTCATTAAAAGGAGCGCGTCAAATCAGCGTACAAATTTCAGTTCAAAAACGAACCTTACGCATATAGTTGGGGCTACAAAATTTAACCACAACAATCCTAAATTATAATATTGATTCTAAAAAGAATTCCTAATTTTGCCACATATTTTCCAATCTATTTTTATATTCTTTGATCGGGAATTAGTATGGAAACATGAAAAAAAACGAAATGGAAAATTTCTATTATTGCTTTTATCAAAATTTCTCTGTATACTACATGCATGGTTTGAGAGTCCCACGCCTGATCGAAAGATCGCCACAAACAAAAATTTTTTATTGTTGAGTTATCTAAAGTTCTGTCAAAGTTACTTTAATAAAAAATTGACACCACTGATGAAAAGCAATGCCTTGATATGTGTTTAGCCAAATCCGCCTAAAGCATAATCAAAGCTCGAGTACTAGTTTGTTGAATTTTATCATAACCGTTACAGAAACACCACACCACGAAGCACTAACGACACAAAACATCAAAAACTCGTGAAATTTTGTTAGGTAACCGTAAAATGAGATGGAGTGAGTTAGTTAACATCCTTTACATCTAGGTCATATCATTCACGAATTTTACCAATGATAAACCGTAACACGGTATGGATGCCGCGTTTTTTAAACAACGTTCGCAAAGACAATCGTTGGAAAAAGAGTGTGAAATGATTAAATGCAATGAGAACGATTAATTGAATACTGTTCAGTCAGAATACCTACAATGGCGGCGAGAAGGATCTCATGGACGCACAAGTTTTGGTTTTTGACTAATACTTGCCAAACTCACGCAGGGTCCAACGCTACTGCGCAAGCGAACAGCTAAGTACCGGAGCGGAATCGTTACAACTTTGATGAAATAGGGTTACCTTTTTAGCAAGCTCATTGGTTTGGCATTTTCCAGTTCCGACAATCGGTCGGTGAGATTTTATGCAGTATTTATTTGAAATATCTTCATAGACTATCTATCTATCTATCTAAATAAACTATATAATGCAATGAGCGATTGGATTAAAAGTTAGGGCAAAAACTGTTTCGCCTACGTACCCATATGAGTCTTGTTAGATTTGTTAACATAATATGCCCGGCTTTGTTTGATTAGGTGAGGCAATTTTTGCGGTTTCATCTCTCTGCTTTCCGTCTATTTCGACAAATGCAATCGGTCTAATTTTGTATAAGATTGATACAATTAAGTATAACGTTAAGTTCCTGTTTAGTTTTTATAGAGAACGTACTTAAGTAAGAAATTCATTAAAAATAATTATTTTCAACAATTCTACAATGTAAAAAAGCTTTTTTCAAAAGATCCTAGAGGCTTTAACTATGATTGAAACCGGGTTTCCCAACACTATTTTACCCACAACTAATTTAATGACGTCAATTTGTTTGTTTTTTGAATGCTGCTTGCAGTTCTTAGAAACTCACTCTCAATTCTCTCTTAAAATATTGCTAATATGACGTCATTAATTATGTACAATATATCATATTCTTTTCCAGAATAAATTATCATAAATCTATGTGAACAACACACTAACCTAGATATACGGAGAAAAAGTTCCGTTGCATTCACTCAAAAACACTGTTAGATTAAAGAGAAATATAAAAATGTAAATAAATAGGAAAAGTAATAAACTTTTGATGATCGAAAGATGATAGGAGGGGAAGATGAAGGAAAGAGTAAAGTTAGGAAAGGATAGGAGTACACGCCACAAGACACGCAACACGACATGTGAGCAGTTGTCAGATGAATAAATAATATAACAAATGACATTGGCAGCTTGTGAAAGGTAATAACTGGATGAGCACGGGAAAGTGTTAGGTTATGGAGGTGGAAATTTAATTATATTTTATTTCAAAGCGAACAGCATGACACAACAATCAATTTATTTTGCTATGCTGCTGGAAAAACAAATCTGTTGCTGCTAAGGCGGACCAATGCCGCTCTTGGAGGAAAGGTGGGTGTAGGTGCTAGTGGGATTAGTGGATTATGAATGGTGTGGCGGTATGGTTTAGAGAATAGGTGGATTAAGGTGTGCGACATGAATGTGAGCATATAGATTATTTTTAAATTTATGCGGCGATGCGTGAGTATGAGTGTGAGTTATATGTATGTGTGTGTACGCACCCCCTCCAATCGCCTCCTTGTCACTATCCGGCTCAGATTGTGTGAGACTCATTTGCCGACGTGACAGCGGCAACTGATTCAGACTTATGTGTGAGCGGTTAATATCGGCAGCAGCTATGATGGAGCACGCTTCGGAGTTGCGACGACACAGCGATACGGTGCGTTGGCGCATGGCACGACGCTTGGCGGCTAAGCGTTTTATCGTTATTTTTTATATTTAAATTTTTTGTTTTTCAAGACACAACATAAACAAAAAAGAAGAAAAAAACAACAAATATAATCAATATGTGTTTACCTTTTGTTTTTGTGATTCGCATTTTGCACTGTACAACAACAATGTGTGTGCATGTTTTTATGGTTTATTTTTTTTTGGTTTGGTCTACAACAAATGACTTCAACATACAGGTTGTACTGACTGTTTAGTTGGCTGATTGGTTGAAGAATGTGTGTGTGGCTGATTTGGTTTGATTTTGGTGCATCGCTGGACATCATTTACGATGCCTGCGCACCGTATGTTGGAACGACATGCCAGTGTTTAGATGTTTAATAAGGTATTTACCTTCGAAATTGAGCTCCTGATTGGTTTCGTCCGAATTTTCACCGACCAGCGTGTGATCGTCGTCAGCCCCCAGCGGCGTTAGGGTGTCTTTACTTTCGGTGCTGGCGCCGGTGTCTTGGCGCACGGTGACGTATGGTGTGCGCTTTACAGTTTCACAGGTGGACGGTCGTTGCGACATGGGCAGGTAAACGTCCGAATCGGATTCGGATTGCATGGAAATTTTGCGGCCGACATGCTCGTTGAGCGCCTCGCGTGACTTGACTAGCTCGTCGGGCTCTTCAGGTACTGGCACCACCTCGAAGTGGGTGCCTTCGTCGAAAATGTATGCATCCGGACGCACCTCCGTGAGTGAACGGTTGAAGCGACGACGGTTGTTGACCTGCGATGGTGCAGAAAGAGAGAATATAGAGAGAGAGATAGAGGGTTCAAAATTTTCCATCCACTGTTTATTTCAATTTTACAGCTATTTTTGAATGTTTGCGCTACATTTAGTTACACACCTGTAAATTTGGTGGTGGCATCGGTGCTTCATTATCCGACATCGAGACCGTTCGTACTCGCTGCAGATCGGTAGCTAAATTCATATTGGACGCTTGTAAGTCAACACCATCAAGCATGTGCATCGACATGAAACGATGTATGACCGCCAAGTGTGAAAGTATTTGTTCGGAGGATTCTTCCATTTTGCGCAGACGAAATTCGATACTCTGTTAGAGAAGATAAAAAATGAAGTTTGAAAAAGAATATCCACTAATATTATACAGCAGCATGTGTCTATATTTTTATACGCGAATAAATATGACTTGTTAATCACTCTCGCCTAGCATCATCAGATTGGGAACGAGCCGAAGCTCCGTTGTACCCTTGCGATATATGCCAGAATGGGACACAACAAGTCTATTGGGCTGCTTCTTCTCAACATGGTTGACCACGGTTGCGGGTACATTAAGAGAACGCAGTATAATTTTAATTAATGAGATGAGTTTGGGGATCGCCAACATCTTGGATGTCGTAGCTTCAGTGAATCCGTGATTTGGTGCGAATCGCTCTTGGTCGCCTCAATAAATTTGTGGTATCTTCAAAGCGCTTCGTCAATATATGATTTTCTTTTGATCAAAAATTCTAGTTTTAGTTTCGGCATCACATGCCACTGTCCAACTGGGATCCCCGTGATCTCCCTGGGAATCAGCTATGAAACCTATTATAACCTAAAATTTCATTATTTTTTTGTTTTAAATCCTTAGCATCCACTTTACTTTAACAGATATATACTCGTACTATTTTAAAAGTTTTGAGCTTGAAAATAAATGCTTTTAAAATCAGTAGTTATTTAGCAAAACTCCGCATGAGTTGACGCAGAATAACAACGAATCTTAGTAAAACTGAAAATATCGAAAACGAATATAAACGATATAGTAAACTATTAATTTTCACGCTTTAGAGCTGATAAATGACGAATGTGTCTGGTTTTGAACGAACTCGTTACTTCTATGCAAGTCAATTAACAGTACACAATTCCGTCTAGCTTAGGAACGGAGGCATCGAAAACACCAACTTGTAATTCAACACAGAATCATTCTTGCTAATCGTAAGAGTTACTTGGGCCTGAGTAGACAACAAAGTACATTCTCTAGGCGAAAATACTTTATTAATCTCAGTAAGTCTGTTCTTCTTTTTTTTTTAAACGGCGACAACAGTTGGCCCTTAGAATGGTCGAAAATATATTTTAAGAAATATCGCATTAAACAATAATATTAGGTCAAGTAAAAAGTTCGTTCGGTTTTTATCTAAGAGATGGCGTTATTGTCCATAGTACTAGTGTTAAGTGTCATGTCATACTATACGGCGCTGAAAACGTGTTTATTCGCGCTAAAAGTTTGTCTTTGACAGTTTTTCGATGGATTTACTCAGTTCGTTGTGAGCGCTCGTCAAAGATGGACACCAACAAAGAGAAAATTCGCTATATTTTACAATTTTTCTTCGATCAAAGCCAAAAAGCAGCCAAAGCGGCTGAAAACATTAATTTAGTTTATGGGCCCGATACTGTAAACGAACGTGCAGCACAAAAGTGATTTGCTAGGTTCCGTTCCGGTAATTTCGATGTCAAAAATGCACCATGCGTCGGGAGGCCTGTCGTCAAAAATTGCGATAAAATCATGGAAATAGTGAAAACAGACCGTCACGTGAGCACTTATTTAATTGCTGAGGAACTAAAGATAAGCCAGAAAACCGTTTGGAACCATTTGGATTCAAAAAGGAGCTCGATGTTTGGGTGTCACACAACAAAATCGACCCGTTTCTGAAGCGGATTGTGACTGGCGATGAAAATTGGGTCGCTTATGACAACATCAAGCGCAAACGGTCGTGGTCAAAACTCGGGGAGCGAAGTTGGCATCTCGTTGGCAACAAGTTTACGAACAAAACGGCGCATATTTGACTTAAATCGGACAAATGTACACAAAGTTATCATCTTTTGAAAAATCAATAAAAAACCGAACGAACTTTTTACTTTACCTAATATAATGAACTCTCTGAACATTACGATAACTCAAAGGCAGTGCCGCAAGTTGAAAATCTATGGTTACATTGATTGGGACATGCAATTACAATGGCCAACTCTGGAAGTAGGCAATGCCGTAATATCTGGTGGTTGTAGAAGAGGGAGAGAAAAAAAGGAGATTTGCAGAACACAAATTGAATTGGGCTTGAATTCACTTGGCATTGGAATTGGCGCCTACTTGCGAAGCGAAGTGGTATATTGTTATATAAAATACTTGGCCAAAATCGACATCAGACTATATGAAAAAGGTTCTTGGTAAATTATTATATCGTTGAGATTATGTCTTATATTCAAAATAGTGTTTGTGCCTCGGAAGTTCCCGTTAAAGCCTGAACGATATATATTTAGTTTGTTTACATTACCCAAAAGGAAAGCCTATAAAATATGGTATACATATGTACATATATAGAAAAAAGTCCACAAAACAATTTTTGATGAACGCATAATGAAGTTGATCAAGATAGCGAAAAGATAGTTGGCTCGTAGTAGTTGTTCATAGCATCCGAAAATATAGCTGATTACAAAGAAAAATTCAAATATTCCCAATCTAAAGAAGTAAAGCTCGTAGAGTACAACCAACAACAAGTGGCTAGTCGCAGAACCTCTACTATAAATATGTATATTTATATAGAATAACTCTAATTTTTACTCACCTGCACAGTGGCTGTTTGCACATTCTCCTTTTGGTTAATATCTTCGATCTTTTGTGCCAATATTTCAACACGTTCGGTTGTGTTCTTAACACGTTCATCAGTCGATTGATTCAATATGATTTCCTGTTCGTGGAAGAAACCCTCCACACACTCCTCTTCGAAGTCATACAAACGCTCCATATCATCCTTTTCCAGGAACAATTTTAAGCCATTGTCACGTTGTACCTCCAATCCTAATGGCGAGTTGATATTATTTATATTTCGTTGGTGTTGTTGTTGTTGTTGCATAAACGATTGTGTGTTTCGGTGAGTGGCAGCAGATGTGCAGCAATATCCATTTCAGGTTAGTTGAAGTGTTGTTGTTGTTGAAGAGTTGTTGTTATTTTTGTAGCAACATTTATTGAAGTTATTAAAGGTGTGCAGCGCCGTTATTGACGGATTTTGTTGTAAATTACACATATATTACAGGTTTTTGAAGGTTTCCATCGGTGTCATCGAGGGTATTCGTAAAATGTTTAGGGTTTCAGCGAGGTAAAGCGCCATTTTGACGATGACGCAACAACAGTTGTTGAGAATTGCAGTTGTTTAAAACAAATACAAGAATATTTCATCAGTTTTTTTGATGCAATGCAAATTCGAGCGGAAATATATAGTTTGGATGAACAACAATACGCATATACATATGTAGTATGTTTGTATTTATGTATATATATATGTGTATGTGTGCATGCATGTCATGTGTTCCATGTGATTGAGCAGACGTAGCCAATGGTGTCATCATCATAACAGTCATCGGTGATCAACGTTGTCATCGAGCGCAAGAGCAACAACAACAAAGGTGTGGCAAACAATGATGAACCAACGAGTTAGAGGGTGGTGGTGGTGTGGTGAGTAGCCAATACAGGTATATGTGTGTTATAGATATGGTGCAGTGTGCAATTTGGAGTGATGTGACATGCATGACCAGGCGCATATGGCACAAATGACAATTGTGATATGCAATAACAGCAAAATCGATTGCAATTTTCCAAAACCATTGGCAATGAAATGTAATTGTGCAATACATATGCATTTATATATTATGTATGTATATATGTGTATATATTCCATAATTTTTTTAATATTAAGATAAATGTTTTTGTTATTTTTTTTTTTTCAAATTTAATATTTGCATGTGTTGATGTTTTTGATGCCATAATTTTTTTGGTATAATTTTTTTTAGTATTTCAGTTTTTGTTTTTTATAATTTTGTTGTTTTTGTTTTTTTTTTTCACAAGTTCAATTTCGTTCATACAACACATCCAATGTGGCAAGTAGGTGTTATGCATGATGTTTGTGGTGCAGTGCATTTTTGTCGTTGTTATCATTTATATTAGACGTTTGTATGTATGTATATATGTGTACGAGTATGTGTGAATGCGTTTAACAGCCATGTACGACACCGTTAACGGCAGCGCAATAATGGAAAAAAATATATAGAAATATTATTTTAGTTAATTATATTCAAGCGTTAGTATAAAACTCACAGGGAATAAAATTTAATTTTCTCATCCCTCTCTCACCTTTCGCTTTGCGTATACAATACTTGAGCAGCGAGTAGAAATGGCAGAGCGCGATGAAGGGTGGCGGCAGCACGGGCTTCTGTTGGTACTCCATGACGACGGTGAAGCGTTGAAACATCCAAACCTATATATCATTCAACAACAACGTGTATATGTGTGCAACCACAACAAAGTAGCCATTAGTAGCCACCAATAGTCCAACAGACGCCCCGGCAGCCATAAAGCGCCATGTGGCAAGTAGCAGCAGCAACGCAGCAGCAACAGTTAAATTGGTTGGATTGACGCAGGAGACATAAAGAAAGAGATAAAAAATTGGCATACGATTTTCATTAATTTTAAGTTTTACAAAGATCAGTTATGCTACATAAATCTCAGTGGTGTGATGGGACGCACCTGATGTGAAACCGAGTTTACTTCGTTGAAAATGTTATTGAAGACGGCAATCAGTAGATTAATTAGCAGAATGTTGGCAATCAACAGGTACATTGCCATTATGATCGGTGTCACCCAGTGGCCTGAAGTGAGAAAAATATAGATAGATATTAGGTCAACACCGAGGAATTGGTTAAAATACAAGAAATACTAATGAAAATAAGTCCATTATTTTTGCATAAAATTCAAAGTTTTATTTAGCATAGTTAGCATGATCCGATTTAGGTTATATAAGCACCATTTTGTTCGATATTTCATTGTCGTTTGGAAGTAATTTTATAATGTAACTCTCACATAAATTCACGTCTCTATTAGCAAAAACTGGGGCAATGGATTCTTACCATTCTCTCTTGAGGCGAATTTTTTACCTTCAAAATTATTTACCATAGACAGGGACAAATAATAATCACTTTGTGCCAGGTACGGACTATAAGGTGAATAAATAAGAACCTCGCAACCAAGCTCGCTCAGATTATAGCTAGTCACTATCGATTAGTGTTGCCTGGTGTTGTCCTCATAAGGCACAATTTCTCTTTAGATAAAGATTTAAGGCATGAAGAAAATGATAAAATATAATATAATAGTTAATAAAAATTGACAAATGTTTATAATCATTGATTTATCGATATTTCATCAACTATATATGGCGCGTTTTTGAACGGAGGCACCGGTTGACCTGAAGTGATGCTGTGACCGCGCGCTCTAAGCCCTCTATCTCGAAAACGGTTCACCGTATGAAAAAATTTTTAAACAAAATTTGTAGAGAATTTTGTATTCTACAGTATTGATAATAAATACCAATAGCAAAAAACCCATAGGAAATGAGATATTTACAAAAAAAAAGCGCAAAAAACCGATTTTTGTGACCTTTGACCTTGAAATTTAATAGTTGCGTACACCCTACCATATGTAGGTTTTGAGACAACTTTTAGGGTGTCAATATACAAGTATTTACAGACTTACAGCTGGGTATCTGAATTCCGAGGTGAACTTACTATAATGACTGGACTATATATACGATAATTTTTTTGGTAAAAGTATAAGTTCTATGTTTTGTTTGGATATATTGATACTTGATTTCTCTCCAGTAAGCAAATGAAAGACCAAATATCGTTACAGGGAAAGTAGTTATTTTATAAAATCGTGTAAGATTTCATCAATTTTTGAAAAGTGTCAAAAGTGAATTATTTTATAATAAAAGCACAATGGTGATGAGATCATTGAGATGATCTATATGAGTATATACTACTCTTGTCAGTATAAAATTACAATTTCACATTTCTGTCGTTGTTCTAAAGAGAGCAATAACAATATAAGTATTGTTCACGAATATAGTGAAATCTCGCCAATAACTTGATTTATTGATTGTGGCTACAGTCTAATGAAAAGTATTCACGCAATCCATAGTACATCCAGAAAACAGCTTTGACATAAAAATGAATATTTCATACAAGTTCAAAACTCACGCAAAGGCCTTATTTTGGTCACAAAAAGGTGCTATTGAGTAAGCAAACTTTTATTATACTCTCGCAACTTGCTGCTACAAAGTATAATAGTTTTGTTATCACCTTAAACTAATCGAGTTAGATATAGGGTTATGTATATATAAATGATCAGGATGAAGAGACGAGTTGAAATTCGGGTGACTGTTCGTCCGTCCGTCCGTCTGTCCGTCCGTCCGTGCAAGCTGTAACTTAAGTAAAAATTGAGATATCTTTATGAAACTTGGTACACATGTTTCTTGGTACCGTAAGACGGTCGGTATTGAAGACGGGCGTAATCGGACCACTGCCACGCCCACAAAAACAAAGAAATTGCCATAACTAAGCTCCGCAATAGGATACAAGACTGTTATTTGGTACACAGGATCACATTAAGAAGGGGCATCTGTAGTGAAAGCCCCTAATAAGTTTAATGTGCACATCTCCTAAGCCGCTAAATCTTTAATAACAAAATTCACTGACAACAAATGTTTTTGGCACCTCTATCGACAGTGTGAAAATAGGTGACAATCGGGTGACAACCCCGCCCACTCCCCATATAACGGTACTGTTAAAAAATACTAAAAGCGCGATAAACCAAGCACTAAACACGCCAGAGACATTAAATTTTATCTCTAGGATGGTATGAGATGACTTTATAGGAGCCGCGTTCAAAATTAGTCAGTGGGCGTGGCACCTCCCCCTTTTAGGTGAAAACCCATATCTTGGGATCTGATTAACCGATTTCTACCAAATTCGGTACATAGCATTCTTTTCATATTTCTATGTTATAGTGCGAAATCAGATTACAACCACGCCTATTTCCCATATAACATCATTTTAAATTTCATCTGATTTTTTCACTTTCCAGTATGCAAATCAAGCAACAATGATTATATCGGCGTAAAACTTTGCGTGAATAATACGTTTAAAGTATGCCACCTTGTGACCAAAAATTATCTAAATTGTATTAAAACTGTTCAAGACCCTAGGTACTGAATATGTGGACCCCAGTGCCTATAGTTGACTTTTTATCGCAAATATCGGTCGACATAGAACAAGGCGGCAAGATCCACAAAGAAATCTAAAACGAGTAAACCATTTGACTTTCCGAGAGTATAAAATGTTCGGTTACATCCGAAATTAGCCCTTCCTTACTTGTTTTTTATTAGAATGTACACTGTGCGATACTACATACTACATATATATGCGGCTTAATCAACATAAAGTTAGAAATTTCACAAAAAAATGTTTCCAAAAATATATTTATATGTATATTTTAAATAAATAATAATTATTATTATACTAATAATTAAATAAGTCATAGTTTAGTGCCACAAAAATCGGCAATCAAAAGATAGAGACAATCTTCGGATCGAATGCGTATTGTGGGATTAAAAGATACGGTATTACGAAAAAATGTATACCAGATATTCGTTGATAGCTTGACCAGTAGTGCAGCAAATAACTTCTTTATTTATTGAATCAAAATAAAAGAGTGAAAAACTCACGATATATGTGCAAGTATGTAGGTATGTATGCATACAAACATAGATGGTGCTGATGATTGTGAGGTTAATTGTGGGTTTAAGCTAGTCTCATTTCTTCCTCTATCAAAATAAATTCTTCCTATTTTAATGTTCACTATTTTCACGTTTCTGTATATTAAAGCTGAAAAATTCCAACAAGTTTACTATCTTTCTCTAATTTCAGTAAATATTTAAACAGAGATTAAACGAATAATTTGTCATACACCTGCACAGGATTATTTTTTCAACTATCCAAATCATAGCAGTTAATTTCGAAAGGTGCAATAAACATTTCACATATTTCTAAATAAACTTACCAGTGGGACATGGCTTCTGATGTGGCTCCTCACCGCATGGTGGATCAATATCATCGGCGAACACTTCACCATACAACATGAAGTACGGCTGATAATAAACCTGTGAACGAATGAGAAGAAAGCGGACAGAAAAATAAATTAGTATTCTAAATGCAAAGTGACACGGGATTATAACGATTATCGCCGATGAGCCAGAGTCGAGAGAACGAGTAGAGCAGATAGACAATGACACAAATGCACGATTGCAGCACAACAAGAAGAAGACAACATAAATAACGATAGCTGCCGGGACGAGGAGAGATATAGAGTGAAGGGAATAAGCAATTGGAAGCAGAGATTTACACATAACAGGCACGTACAGAGCAGATACAGTTATTTTACAAATATACAACTACGAGTATATAACTCATCTAAAGAGTTGGTTATGCAATTTCATTAATTTATACATATTTACATTTATACATATAAACATAATGTATCCATTACAAATGAAAAAGTAAGTATAATTGTGGATAAGTCGAGATTTTTTTAAAAATACAGTCACACCTGAATAAGTGAGAACTGGGTAAGCGAGAAACCTCTATAAGTGAGAATAATTCTCAGGTCCCGAATTTTAACCTCTCAAAAACCTCTATGAGTGCGAAACAAAAATCTCAATAAGTGACGGTCGTTTTTCCCATTATGACCTCTATAACTAAGAGCCTCTTTTGCATTTACCTATGTAATTGACAATTTTTTTATGTATGACTCATTCTTTTTTTTCCGGAATCAAGAACTATATTGTTTTCTTGTAATTCAAAGAGATAATATTTAACTGTATTAACTTATTTTTAATGCTCACTACAATTCATAAATATCATTTGCAACGAACACAGCAGCACTTACAACAGCTTTCAACAAACCTCTATAAACGAGAAAAAAATCGTGATCCCTTGAACTCTCTTTCAACCAGATTTGACTGTATATCGATTAAAGTACTCGTATTTTTTTTCTTTCAAATCGTAGCCAATCGCAACTGCCGTTAGGTGCTTCGCTGCAGTTAACGTTAGTTTATTGATAGTTATAGTGAATGCAAAGTAAATTAACGAGCAAAGCATCAGCACTAATGAAATCAAAATGAAGAAATGCTGAGAGCAGACGCTCAAATCAATCAACTGTCCAAGTTCATTAATTTATTTTTTCGCTAGCACGGATATTGTATATTATTCTGCGAAGGGCTATGGGTCTAGGTGTATTAAAATTTCTATATATGTACATATAATATAATATATTTTTTCTTTCTTTGCCTGATTTGCCTCGTAAGCGTTAAATGAGGTGTAATGATGGATTGACACATAAATGGACTTTTATTGGCTTGCAGTAAATTAATTTTGACCATTTATTTAATTACGAATGTTGGTATTAGGGAAAGCTGCGAAAAATTACCAAGAAAATAAATGTAAGCTAAAATCATCGACTTGCGCAATGAATCTCTGTGATATTCAAAATCTAGACTAACCCTTAGCATGGGAATATTAGTCCTTAGAACTTAAATCCACCACTTTTTATATGGAAATATCAAATAAAGAAGGATTCTTCTGCCACAATGAGAAAGAATTTTTGTTCTTTTCTTAATTTTAAAGCCATGTATAAGAATACACTAAAAACCATGCACTAAAAAATATCCTTGTTGAGATAAGGTAAGCGAATGAGTTAAAAATAGAAAATCTCCCTTTTTTTCTATTTTTTTTAAATGGTTGTTTTAGTCGATTTCATTATACCTTTCACTGCCTTCGTTGTCGATTTGAAACGCATGATGAAAACGAGTTTTTCTCTAATTGGTTTAATCGGTTTTTCGACAGTTGCAAACTTGACTTTTATCCCGGTTCGAGCAACAGCAAAACAATTTTCAAAAGCGATGACTTCTCGCCAGTCAATAGTAAACCAGTTAAAGGGTTTGTCCCATGAAAATGATCATATAAAATCGCTTAACCAATCAGACGCCACTCAATTTGACCGATAACTCCGATGTGCCAACCACAGGCGAAGAAGACCAAATATAAACCATTTAGTAAAGATATCTATCTGATCAAAATTGACTCCGACTGGTATATTTTTATGTTGGTGTGAAGTTTGTCACACACACACATGTCAAATAGTGAGTGTTTGGCAGCTGTTTATTTACTTTGCGAAAAGTGTGTTTGGGTGATTTATACCATGGGGAGTTTGCTTGAAATTTTGTGTTTCCGATGTAATCACGGCTATGGTTAATCGTTGAAAATGTTGCAGTACACAAATATCTGCGAGGCACAAAGGATTCAGTGAAGTTCGAGAAGTTATCGAAAACTTGCCTGATGCGAGCCATGCATTCACCTCCGCTCATGACGATAACATCGAAAAAGTTAAAGAAACAGTGCTTGAAAATCGTGGTGTGGGCATCAGAGAGATAACAGAGCATCTCAATATCACTTATGGATCGACTCAACACATTTTGGTTAATGTTTTGGGTATGAATCTTACCAATGCTAGACTTGTACCAAAAAGCTTGAATGCGCTGCCTCATTCTAGCATGATTGTGACGTACTTTTTGGCTAAACACAAAATAAAGGTCATCGCCCAGCCACCGTATTCTCCAGATTTGGTTCCCTGTGACTTTTTTTATAATTTCCAAACTCAAAAATCTGCTTAGGGCACCGCGCCATGAGTCCATTGAAGCCGTTAAAAGTCATATGCAGAACAGGCTTATAACAAGTGCATGGAAAATATAATTAAGCATTGGCATGCTGTTACTCGTATTGTTTCAAAAGGAGCCTATTTTCAAGGTAATAATGTAAAAATAGGGGAAAATGTAATTTTTTGTCAGCTCTTGAAATTTGATCAAAAGAATGCCTGGATTATAAAAAAAATTTTAAAACAAAAATGGACATGTGACATTCTATTTTCGACATATGCGCGTTATGTGGTTCTCACAAAGCAAAGAATAGCCTATGAGCTGTCGCCGAAATGCATGAATTCAATAAGGTACGGAAGAAAGCTAAATTCATTTTACAACAGACTTTGCATATGCTCAAAAGTTGCTAGATTTTTAATATTCGCAAAATGATTCAGCTACCAAAAGTTTGGATCGCTTTTTATTGCTAGTGAAATTCAATTTTTTAAGCTAAAGGCAACTGTGTGATAGATTAAAAAGAAAACAATTAGTATCACTTGTATACAATTTTCCTTTATTTCCTTCTTTCTTGTCATCTCAGCGAACTGTCCACAGTCGTCTATTGTTATAAAGTCAGGTATTACCAAAACTGAGGTTCCCCAGCGTTGTAAAAAAGGTACATGATATATGTAGGTATGTGTTTCATATATGTGTATATATTACTTGAACACCTTTAAATATTGCTATCATAAACATAATTCATGCAAATCACAAACCGACTAGCGCCAACAAATGAAAACATCCAACAGAAGGAGCGGAAAGTAAAAGTAACAAAAAATAAAAAGAAAACAAAATAGAGAGACAGGAAAATCAAACAACTTGTAGCGCTGAAAGTAAAAGCGTCAAAGAACAGTTAACAAAGAATATTTATGAACTTTTGCTTACTAAAAAGCGTTGACGCAGTAAAAGGAAACAAAAAAACCGAAAAAGTGAAAAATGACATTGCGAAAATATGACAAATGATAAAAGAAAAATCAGAAAAATGTTCACTGAAAGAAAAGAATAGAAATAAAAGCTGATTCATGGTTAGCAAATGGTAGTGTACCATAGTTGAGTAAAGAGGAAAGGAGGGAAACGGGTGACAAAAAATTATGACCGTAAAATGTAAATTTTATTGAAACAATGGCAACAAGTTCAGAAACTTCTAAAAAATGAAGACAATAAAACGAAATCAGAGATACTCGTACAGAAGCGTTCAGGCTTTCTACAGTCTATATAGATAACAAAACATGCAGACACTCCGTTAAATGATGAAAGCTGCGGTCGAAAGCTTAAACGATGCGTGCACGAAAGCACGTTTCTACAACAAAAGCAAAATATATGGAAATTTCTAAATAAATCAGCGCAAGTGGACATAAATAATTTTCGTTGGTAAGTGAGTGTGTAGCTGTGTTTATGTAGTTGTGGAAATATAGAGAAGGTGGTAGAGTAGGCGGTAGTGAAAGCAAATAGCAAAAAAAAAAGTTAACAAGACATTAAACTATACATACATATACATAGAAATTCATAATAGAGTACACACATACATATTTACGAGTAAGATTTCAACTCATAGATGAGCTAGTTAGTAGAGGATTTCAAGTTTCTTTGCATCAATTTCACATAGTTGGTTTGGCGATTGCATGCAAAAGCTTTACAGTTATAAACAATTTATTAGTTTTTTTATATATGTCCAAATAAGATTTTAAGATTTTTACTAATTGTTGTAGTTGGTGCAACAAAATCACACAATATCCATGACATTATGCTCACTATTATTTGGGTCGACATTTGCGTTAAGAACCTGCTAATGGGGTTTCAAACAATTTGAGGCAGTCGATGTCTTATATTAGCGCACAAATTGGTGAGAAGGATCTCACCGGTTACTGGTATCGCAGCGAATCTAAATACTCAGTTTCTGCAAGAAAAACTACCCTGACCCGCACCCAGTATATATATTTGTATACTGTATTTTATAATGAGCTAGAAGTTGTCAGTATGTTATAGTAGTTATGTTCATATATAATCGGCGTTCACTGCTAAAGGACCTCACCAAAAGTGTGGTTGATAAAAAAAAAGCTAATAATTTCCGTAAATTTTTATGTATTTTTAAATATTTTGAAATCACTATTACAAAATTCTTGGGAAATATAAGATTCTACAATGTAGTGAACTCGTTTGCCCAAAATATGTTTTCATATTCTCGATAGCGGATTAAACACTCTAATATAAACCTTCGATTCGTCACTACCAAAGCTCCACAGCTCGTGTATATTCATTCAACCCGATATTCAAACGGGAAGATAGATTTTAAGCCCGTCTTCTGAGTTATACATTTCCAATAATTTTATACTAAACGAACACTCAGGCTATAGGAAGCCTCAATTTAAATATTAAGTCCCTAACTGATCGCAATATCGTTATAATTTAGT